TATGTAAAGCTGTTGGTCTGTATGTCTTAGTTTGGGGCGCCTCCATGGGTTCTATGCGCAAGCGGCATTCTCCAAAAGGAAAAATTCTAAATTGTCTGCGTGCCAGTGATTGAAAATTGTCGCGGCAAAGTGACGACGGCATACGACCCGACCACTAGGCAGATATTTGATATTTGAGCACCATAAAGGTACACCCCTCCCCTTTCCAGTTGCCGGGTGCCTTCTATTTGTATGCCCCGTAGCGTTTTCCACTTAGATTTGTTTGCTCCGTGTCTCGTCTGTGCGTTTGCTCAATGAAAAGTTCTCCCTTTTTGTCATTAGAAAGCCCAACCAGCCATCAACAACATTTACGTGGGCCGCGCAGTTGCATGGCATTCTCGTTGAAACATCTTTGTTAGATTGTCTGTCATGTCCCTCACATCATCAGATACTTTCTGAACAAATATTTTTCCAGACCTGACGAGGGTTAACCATAGGACAAGTGTACGTCGCACACGTTCTCAAAAAATTGTTAAGACACTCTTAAATGGTTATGTGGTTGTTTGAAAGCCACAATTACGATTATTTGTGCTATCTTAGAAATAAATCGTAGCTTATTTGCTTTTAAAAACTAATATTAGTGTAGTGTATAACTAAATCAGTCAATAACCCAAAACAGGCAGGGGGTTGTTGAAAATCAGATGGCTTACCTTATATTTTATATGATGAATATCAATAGAGTAAGTGCAGTAAGGAGTGTAGCGCACGTTTTAAACAAATTTTTACACAAAATCTTTAAAACACTGAATATGTATTTAAAACACGTAATCTTAAAAAATATCAATAATATCAAGTCAAACACCCCAGACTCAATAATCGCTTTCCACCACATTTGCAGCGTATGTTTTTTTATTTATTTATTAACCTTATCCTAGCGTTACAAGTATCAAGTTACTTTGAAATTATTACGCTAGTTTTAATTATATCAAGCTTAAGTTATTTTCAAATTATTAATTTTAGTTTTAACATTAAACATTTGTATTGTTATTAGGATTGCTTGATTAGTTTTATACTTAATCTATTTTGCCTACTCAACTAAGATTGTGTTTAATATTATAATTTTTAATAACGTTAATTTTGTAATTTTTTTTTGTAATTTGTATTCGTCGAATTTTACTGCAAAGTTTTTGTAAAGTTGATAACTTTTCCAATTTTATTGGCATCCGGCGACTGTGGAGGCCAATCTTAAGTGACGATCCCATTTGGCATCTGTCTGTCTTATAAATTTTCACCAAATTGTAGGGCATTCAAGTTTTCTAAAATACGAACACTTCGCTGGTGCCAAATCTCCAAATAGAAGCTTGATTGGAAAACACAACATTCTTCCGGACACCAATTGCTTTTTCAATGTGCTTTGCCATTTCATATTGTTTGAACCATTGCAGTTCTACTAGCTTTGTTATTTACTCAACCAATTATTCGGATCACTTTAAAAGTGAGCTATATCTAGAAGAATGGAGGGGATAAAATGTTTATTATATATATACATACATGTATACACAGTTACAATTTGGTATGTATGTAAATAACTAAGTCAATTTAAGAATACCTTCGATGTTCGACCAAATAAAAATTGTGAAGTCATTTAATGAAAACGATGGACCCCATCACACGCCTTAGATTGCTTTGCATTCTGACCCCAGGGTTAAGTTATTCATGTAGGTGGCCAATCGCTTGCCGAACGGTCGCCTTGAGTTCGAACAGCCCGCAGAAATGTTTCTGAAAAAAGTGAAAACTTTCACTTTTGATATTTTTGTACCGACAACATTTATATTTAGTCTTTTTCACTGAGATTTAAGTTTGCCTGTCCGGCCCGGCCCGGCCCGGCCCCTGCCCCCATAGGGGTTTAGACGTGTGTGCTCTCTGTGTGTGATTGTTATTTCTTTTTTTTTTATTACCATAAATTTGAATTTCGTTTACATCATCACCGATGTCGGTCGTCGGTCGTCGCTTGTTGCTCATCGTGCATCGCTATCTGTGCGCTTCTCAAGTGTAAAGAATTGTTTTGTGATCGTGTGTTTGGGCCTTTCTTTGGGCCACGCCACAACACGTCCACACAACCGACGCGTCGCTTGTGCATGTGTTTTAATGCGATGATTTAAAACTTTTTCGCTTTCATTTCATTTAAACTCTTGCTATTAATCAGTTATGAGCCTCGCCATGAGAGCTCGATCGCACTGCGTGGCTTTGATTTAATGAGCTTCAAGCTCAACCCTTTTGTCTAGGGAATCGCTTGCGTAAGGCTCGGGCCGCACACAGCGGGTGCGCATTTATCAGTTTTTCAATTAAACTTTTGAAAATGTTTCGACTGCTACTTACATATTTAATTTGCTTTTTTGTGTTACGCTGCCTCGGTACAACTTTAATTTCTGCGACTTGTTTCTCGTTTCGCACAAAATGCTGTCGCAGGCATGTTTATACTCGTACATACAAATACTTATAAGTAGCAATGTAGTTGTACAATGATGGCAAATAGCTTAGATAAGAAATCCATTAAATGGAAAACAATTTTGCGGAAATGTAAATGAACGCTTTGCGACTGCGACTGCGACGGGCCTGACATGCGGGCCAAATGTCGGCCTGAAAAACTTCAAAGCTTACCGGCGATAGTGCAAAGCTTTTAATTACGGTTCACGCTCTATAAATCCCCACATAAAATTCTCTTGATGGACAACTTCGAGCCACTTCCACTTTGTCGCTAGCAAATTACTAACTTTCGTGTGAAAGTTTTTTTTTTTATAAAACTAAAATTAAAATACCTCCAATTGAAATTATATCGACTTACGGCTAATAAAAGTTAAAGTTACAAGCTTTAACAAGTATTTTAGGGTAATAAAAATTGCTTGGAACTTCAAAGAGATGGCCAATTAAGTTGTTTAGTTGTCAGGAACAAACCATATTTAATCAGTAAATTCGAGTTGAATGACGGCTGTACGGATGACATGGCAGAAAATCGTCGAAGGCCGTGTGTTGTGGATGCCTTAACTTCTCTAAAATTATTCTTTCATGGACAACAGCGAATCTCTTCCAGCCTCTATGCGTTCAATAACCTTTCCTCCTCAAATCTATACAGATGCTTGTGTGTGTGTCTTAAAATTGAACGGCCCTTCATTCTCGTTACCATTGCATAAGTAGTAACACACTTATACGTATAGCCCGTATTTTGGAACAAAGAGAATCATCAATTGTAGCCTCATGCCGACCTAAGAATATAAAGATGTACATACTTATGAGTATGTGTGGCGTATGTGGCTGAAGCTAAACTATTTTTAGAGTCAGACCCATTGTCCGACAGTGCCAATTTCATGGGCTTTTCACATTTCAATGGCATTATTTCTTTAAAGCGAGTACCTTCGCAGTCTGCAGCGGTAACAACAACAACAAAAACAACAATAGCCCTGAACTTTCAGCGTTGAGCGTTGCAGTTAACTGTTATTCTTTTTTTAACATTCGCGCTTTACTGTTATATGTATATAGTAGCATGTGTACAGCCGTTAAGCGTAAGTGTTAAAGTTTTGTATGTTTTGCTGTTAAGTGTCTGCTGGTTGTTCAATTTTTTTCTTTATTTAAAACTTCATCTCGAAGTTATGAAACTTGTTCGCCAGCATTTAAAAGACAAAGCAAAAAGTCGCGTTTTTGCAGTGGGTGCAGTTGGTTGGTTGCACGACTGTCTACCTTTTTGCACTTGATAAAAAATGATAAAAAAGTAAGAGAAATATAAATAACAGACATTGCTGGAATTCATTTACAGTGGATGGGAACATGTTCAATGCTCTGCATATGCATTTTTCTTTGTCAACATTCACTTAAATGTATGTACATACAAGTAGCTGGCGAGTGTGTGAGTGAGCCGCATTCATATTTTTTGGCTTAATTTATATGGTTTGTTTTTATTTACTTTTCGTTAATTACGAGCATTCCATTTACTTATACATAGTACATACATACATATGTGCATGTCACCGATTTTATAGTAAAAAATGCTTATGACAGTGTTTTCTGTTGTTTTTATTTAATTTCGCTGCATTTCCCCATTTACAAGAATGTTGTGTAATTTCAAGTGGAATTTTTTGTGTACGTAAATTCAAAGAGAAATCCTTATTAAGAATAAAATTGCAAAAAGCCCTTTCTTTTCTGTTAACAAAACAGATTTAACAGATTTACAGATATAAATTATTTTTGTCTGCTAGAGTTGGTTAAATGGTATATTTAGATGGCATACAAACAATAAATAAATTATAGATAATTGGTGTAGACTTCCATTTTCGTAGTTAAATAAGAGTGCTATAAGTAAGGATTTCAGTGAGCTCTACTTAACATTCTTTCCCATGTTATTCCAATGTCTGCTGAAAGCAAACAAAGTACAGGTGGAAGTTCTCGTGTTTGTTCAAACACTTGGCAGCCGACGGGCAAGCTGCCTAACCCTAACACGCCTTACCTATTTGTATACCCATATGTTACTACTATATATATACAAAGTATTCGTATTGTATTACCAACTTGTATTTCTCTTTGCATTTCTTTAACAATATTTAAATAGGAAATTAGGGTCGACATTGTCTGCGCTTTGCTTCCGCTTACGTCAAAGTATAAATGTATGTGTGCATGCATGGTGGGGAGGATGGAGAATGGGTGTGAGGCGGGAGTCTAAGTCGCGCCCTGGGCACTTTCACAAGGTTTCCTGTGGGCTATTCGTAGACAGAGCTGGTTAGCAAGTTGCAGACCATTCCAGAGTGCCGCTTCTTTTTTTTTTGTTTTTTTTCTTTTTTACCACTTTTGTACACACGATGATGAGCCATGATAATTAACAGCTTATTGTGAGTATGTGTGTATGTGTGCTTAATTAACTGCATTTACAGTTAATGGTGCAGTTAGACGGGGCACATTAAAGGATGCACGACTTATGGCAATCTTTTGCTTGGCTGTCACTAATGTTCATGATTTTTCATTTTTAATTACAGCCGAACGGCAATTTGTGCACACACCGTCAAGGAAGCTCGAGTAGAAAGGTAAGTGGAGTGGGCATTGTATGGGAGGAGATGTGGATGTGGATTCTGCCGGCTGGTGGTCAGATGAAATGCTGCTCACACTTCACTGGCGCTAGCTTGGGTATCTGGGTGTCTCGACGCATTTAAACAAGTTCTCGGTTGTAATTACAGAGGGAAGCCAGAAAAGCAAAGAAAAAACAGTTGGCTGGCTGACTGACTGACTGCCCCTCTGGCTGTCTAGCTGCCTGCCTGTCTGTCTGCCTTCGTTCGCTATTATTAATTTCAACAGTTTGTGTAATTATGAAAACATATTTCACAATGCATATTCATTAAAGTCGCACATGGAAGCGACGAATAAAAATCCGCACTGCGGCTTTCTGATGAGCTCGGGTAAATGACACCATTGACTAAAAGCCGTGTGCATGACTAAGAGACTAACTGCCAACGCATCGATATAAAACACAATAAGGTCTTCAGATCTACAGGCTACTTACATACTTTATGTACGTAGAAAACCTATAATGTGATCTATAAACCTAGGAAAACACAGACACATCGATTTTCAAATTGATTTGGTTCAGTTTGCTGTTTTTCTGTAATAACAAATATCAAAAGTTCTGGTATTTCTTTAGAAAATGCGAACTATAAGATAGAACAAAACGTAAGAGAAGTGAGAGAGACTGTTAATATAATTTTTAGAGAGCTTGGTATTAGATCTACACTACAAGTCGGGTATTAACTTTATATTGCTAATTTATTCAGCTAAACATAAACATAGTATGTAATATTCAAACAGAAACACAAAGCTGTGCATGTTCTAATAAGAATTGGTTAACATTTTTTGCAAGTGTGTACCTATTCCTGGAATGCCATAAATGTGTTAATATGAAAAATGCGAATCGTCTTTTGAGATTTGTGATTTGGAAATTGAATTTTTTTGATTGTCGAAGTTGGAAACGAAAGATATTAATCAATTTTATATCCTCAGTCAACTAAAAGCTGCAATGTTTAACAACTTAAATAATTGGTTTACCGAAGTGCTTCTAAACAAACTTATGTTAAATGAAGAACTAAGCTTTACCAATTTCTCCAATTTGGAAGCACTAGCTTACCATTAAACGGACCTTAACTGCAAGTCGTTTTGTGTACAGAAATGTATGCTAAAATTAATGAACAAAATTAAAACGTACATATGCAAATAACTTTTTTGCTGTGTTTTGTTTGTGTCGCACACAACTAGTGAGCTGCCATAGCTAAAAAAATTAAAATTGAAAAAAAACAATCAAAAATTTCGCCAATAGCTAATTTTAATAGCAAGAAAATTAATGATTTTCAAACATGCAAATTAAAATATGCAAAGCAAAAAAACAAAGTATGGCAGAAACAAAAAAACAACTTAAAAGAAAACAGACAGACACTGTGCGCAGAGAAAAAACTTGATCTACAACATTTTTATGCGACTGGCAACTAATTGTAAAATGATTAACAAAAATATTGTTGAGCTTCTTCTCACTTTTTTTGGCCAGTTTTTCTAAGCTTTCTGGCCGGTGCGGTCGCAAGAAATGTGGTACGTACATTGACCTTTTAATTAAATTACCGTAGAGCTGGGGAAGAAATAGCAACAACGGACATTACACGGATTTTAATACTCTATATATGAAAGGTAAAAGTGCATATTAGCTTTGTGCACAGCTAAAGATATAACAGGCAGAATGAGGCCCGACAGACCCCATATAGTACATATACATATATATTCTTGATCAGCATGACAAGACAATGCCTATGTAGCTCTGTCTGTCGGTCTGTCCGTATGAACACTTAGATCACACAGACCATAAAAGTAAAAGGCATACAATGATGCCCTATATGAACAAGTGTTTTTCAGTTTAATTTCAATTTGCCTTCTTCCTCCGATTTCTTGCTATTAGTAATTGTCCAAACTACCGCATTGGAATTGGAATTTTTCAGTAAAAGTTAAATTCACACACTTTTGCACACAGATGCCTAATATGAGTAGGCAGAACAAGTGTATTTCAATTTCATTTCAAGTTTTCTTCTTCCTCCGATTTTGCACCATTAGTGAATTTCCATAATTCCCATATTTCTTTGAATTTTTTAATAAACTTTGCAGTCATACTCACCTTTTTTTAAACTACAATTTTCTTTATTGTTTTTTTTTTTTTTGAAATTAAATGTTAATGTTATTTTTCGTACTATTTTAAATTTTTATAATTATTGTACAGAGTATTTCAATGCCGGGGCCTCTAGCTGTAGCTTCTTTCATTCGCTCAGCGTCATACCGGTTGCTAATCTAATTAAAGCGTTGTGCACGCAGCTTTCCAAACGAAGCTCGAACAGCCCGCTAACAGTCTAACAGTCTAACAACGTAAAAATGTTAGCTAACAGTGAATGCTCGTATAAGTACACTGCTACTTAAGCACCGTTAATCAAAGGTCAGCTGGCATTCCGGAAGTTAGCCATTCACATTCACCCGCACCCGCCCACTCCACCTTCACAGCTCGGTTTAGGCATGTGTCACCCCCTCAAAACTAGCCTGACTATCGCTCACTCACGCGGCACGCGCTCTAATCAATCACGCGTAGAACAAAGCGTAAAACCCACGAGAAAAACATTCATAAATTTGACGTGAATGAAAGTAATTTGAATAGTGTTTGTCGTGTGGGTCCGTCGCGACGTTTGGTGTGTATGTGTGTGCGAGTGTGTACATATTTAGAGTAGGTACGAGTGGCAGGTAACACAAGCTATGTATGTATTACTACCTTTGAGCTGGTCAGCCGGGCAGGTAGTAAGCCAGTCAGTCAATCGGCGTGCCAATATACCTATGTATGTTTGGATGTATATCTGAATTTATATAGTTGGTGCATGGTATCAATTCGCTACGTACTCTGCACGTGTCAAGTGTAAAAAGATATCGAACTCTATGAGTCGAACTTCCTCGAATGCCGAATGCCTTCTCCCCGAGAGTTGGCCGTAAACGCAATTTGTCAACCTTTTACACACAGCATGCAATTCACGCCACTCGAGAATGGAGTGTTCAATTTGCTGAAAAATCAGCGGTCGGTCATTTATTACCGTTATGCAACGCCCGCCTCTTGAGTCGTTTCAGTTGACAATTGTCAAACAATTAGTTGGACCTTTGCGTGGAACTTTTCAAGAAACTGACAACAACAGCGGCAACTTCATTTGTCACTCGGCTTTTTACTTCTCTGTTCCCAAAATTGGGTCAACAGTTTGTCAGCACGGCTCCCAAGACCCGGTATAGTATATTTTTATGTCTACTAACGATCGATGTCTAAGCCTGACAATTTAATTGCCGTGTCTCTATGACGTGTTCCATTTTTATGTCAGTTACCGTTTTCCATTGCGTCATTTAAGAACCTTCTCCCCGCCTGTACATACATAAAGACATTTTCGTTTTAGTTTTTTTTTTTCTTAACTCCGGGAGAAAAGTTGAAAGATCTTTCAACAGGCCATTCAACACGCACGCATCATTAGTGTTGTCAGATAGCTGAGCAGAGATTGTAGGCCTTGATTAGCTCCCTCATTTGCATTTTCCATGGGTTCCAGCGCCAACAATCGACCAGCGGGTGTCCGCTTCCATGGCTAGGACTTAACTGAATGGCCACTAATTAATGGCAACACATCAAAGTGTCAAACCTTGAAGCCTAACGACAGGCGCGGTGTCAACTAGGCGGCTAGATTCGATTTGGATTGATAGCACTCCTGTCCCTCGCTCCTCGGTCTTCCAGATTTCACCCGAAAATTAGTAATGATATAAATTTTACACTGCGTATCACCGGAAATTCCAAAGAAGGTAACATAATCACATTGAGGGAAAAAAACGCAAAAGAAAATGCCAACACAGGTAGGCAAGTGCAGGTCTAGTCTACAGTTCTTATCAGCATGTCCTTTGTCAGTGTGTGTGTGTGTGTGTGTATATATATATATATATATATATGTGTGTGTGTGTGTGTAACGAACCATTTTATGCAATGCTCGGTCTGCTCTTTTCTCTCTCGACCGCTTTGTTTGAAGCGACCGCCAGCCTTCAACTTTGGTTGTGAGTCAAACAAATTTTCGTGCTTTTGATTTATTTGTCGGCAGACAAAGACAACGGAACGGCCTTCACAGATAACGAAATGCTGCGTGTGTGTTGTGAAAATCTCAATGCGTGTGGACAAAAGTAAGAGTTGGCGTAGCAGACGCCACCCAAGGTGAAAAAAGTAGTCGGCCCTCCCGTGGCGGGCTAACTACTATCTACGAGTAGTACGTAGCTGTCAGATCTTGGCACGTCCCCGTCTAAAAATCTAGGACAATAAGTGTCCGTAAGCCATTTCGGCTCGCAGTTGGCACACACGTCGCACAGCCAGGACCTTTACCTTTCACTTTTTACGGGTATAGTGCACACTGCAGGACGCAGGCAACAGGGTATGCGTAGGTGGTCATCAGTCCTGAGGATTATACAAAGACCTGTTCGACCAAAGCTAATCTCTAAGCGCTGTTTGGACTTAGTTCTCCCATCCAACGGCCACTTAAACTGTGTCGGAGGCGTTCTTTGTAGGCTACGCCCCGACTTTGTTGAATATTTGCAGACTGTTTACTTTACAAATCCCCAGATTTGTGGCATTAAGGAGATTTGAATATCTTCAGTCCCCATGTTGAGGCTATTTGGCTTAAATTTGATTAAAGCATGAAGCGATTTGTCGTCGCCGGCGACCCAAACTGCCTCTTTTTTGATACAGTCATTCGTTTTGGCCAGTTAAGACAAATTTGTTTGTTTATACTAATACGACTGACGCAGATGAAAAATTGCAAGCTAAAAATAAACAAATATGGGAAAAGGTTGCTTAAAAAAGATTAGATTGTTTCTACAAAGAAAGGTAAAATAAAGAAAATACGGCAGAAACTAAGACTTTATAATTGAAATCTGTTTTAAGCATACAATGTTAGCATTAATATAGACTGAGGTTTTTTGTAATTGAACAAAAATCAACACGATAACAATTATATCCCATATGTGTTTAAATCTGAATACAATTAATTTATAAAGGTACATTGCTTGTTGCAAACAAGATAGAACGCTACAGTCGGGCAAGTCCGACAATAAAATACCCTGTACTCTTCACAAAAATGGAAAATTTACAAAAATTATTTAAAAAAATTAATTAATTAATTAAATTAAATATAAAATATTCACCACATGCATACATACATGTGTCAATTATATATTTCTTGTGGGGTTTGCCACGCCTCCTTCTATGTGTTTTATACATTCGCACAAAACTAGTATACCCTTTTACAAGGGCGTAGGCAGCTTTTACCAAAGGGGGGGACCACAAAATTAAAATTTTGATTAAATAATGCACGATGCATTTAAAAAATAACTTATCCATATGATCAATGAAAAAACTTCAACAAATCCAACTCAGATCCATTTTAAGGCGAAATAATGCGTCATAATAATGAACGTGTGGTTGATTTTATATGGCAAAATCTTTTCTAGACCCCCCCTGTTACGCCCTTGCCCTTTTACCCTTTGGGTACAGGGTATTGTATCTATACATGTATGTGTGTTTGCATGGCTGTGTGAGTCCGTGTGTGAGTACAGAGCTGATCCAAAGCAGCAGAGCTTGGTTAGAGGCTAGTTAGGGATATGACTTCGTTTGAATTTGTAGTTTTCCGTGCTACATTTGTGGTGAAAGAATTCGCAAGATTTATTTGTGTTGAAATGTGATTTTGCTGTGCAACTGAAGCAACTGAAATTGTTGCCACGGTCTTCTTCGATTCCCCAAATAGAGCCGCAAAAGGGAAAGCCACTCATATACTTGTATATATACTCGTATGTGCCCAGCTTCGCTTCGATCCACTCGGCTGGCTGCGCATGCTCAACATCTATAGCAGTTAATGGCTGCGAGTGTTGCGCATTTTCTTCGTCATTTTTTTAATTACCGCTTTACAGCTCATAAATTTATTGCCAAAGATGCCGAAAACGCACAAACTGCCTTTTTGTAAGCGTAACGGACAACCGAATCGAGTCGTTAACAGACGACCAGAACGCTTACCCATACCTTAGCCATAGCTCGCCACTTTAGAGAATGTGTAACAGGGACCGTAAGCTTATCGCCGCTATTACGGTCGGTCCGTAAATCTATGAAATTGTTACAAATCAAACTACTTATTAACACCTGAAAAATCGAAAAACAAGCTGGCCATAAAACTTTACAATCGAGAACCTTGTGACTCTGCCTTAGACGTAATAGGCGGGCAATGTAACTTACCCAAATAACCGCTCAAGGTTAACCAACCTACAATAGGGCGACATGAAGCCCATCAAATAAAACATACATACTTACATACTCGTACTACCAATACACCAACGCATAAAGGGCAGACAGTGTTTGAATAGTCCACCTCAAGATATTCCCAACCGGGCGTTGGGCAAACAAAGAGCGACGAAGACCGCGGCCACGATGGTGGTAACAATTTTCGGCTTGTTTGTAAGAGATTATTAAATAAATGAGCTATTGTTGGAAATTAATTTGGAAAAATGCGTTTAGATGACTCGACAAAACTCGCCTTTGGCCATCAAACCTGAAGCGTCTGATAAGAAAATGCAGCCATGCAAGCGGCGAACAGCGCTGTTAGTAAATGTAGCTCGCAGCTGAAATATTTAAATACACATATTTTATATATAATTTCAAAGACCCTGAACTAACATTTGATGAAATCGGAAATTGCACTTCCACGCCCATTATTACTTCAGCTTCTGCATGCTGGTAATTATACCCTGGGGCCAAAGGGTGAACGGCACGAAAAACTCACTTTTTTAAGTTGTTTAGTTAAGTGCGAGCTTATTCAACACACTGAAGGATGCGTGGCAGTCCCCACAAAGTACACCTAATTCTGTTTTTACACGGTAGATTGGTTCCAGAAACATCCGTGTAAAAAAATACATTGATCATGTGCAAAAATAGGTGATTAGTTCCTTATCTCTTAAGAAATACTTATATGTATTTGCAATTTTTAATTTTCAAACGTGTAATAACAGATTTATGTGTATATATATTAATGATCAGCACAAGACGACTCGATGTAGCCCTGTCCGTCTGTGTGAGCGCAAGGACCTCAGAAAATACAAGAGCTAGAATAAGCAAACTTGGTGCCAAGTTTCCCCTAAACCCCAGGCAGATCAAGTTTTTTCTTCCGCTATTATTAGTGATTTTCCATAACTTCCTTAATTCTTAGAATTTCTACAAATTACATTCCAATGTAATTTATTTGTGTACCCTGTACCCGTAGAGGAGTATGTAAAAGACAGAAGGACGCATCTCCGACCCCATAAAGTGTATATATTCTGAATCAGCATGACGAGAGAAATCGATCTAAACATGTCCGACCGTCCGTCTGTCTGGATGAACGCCTGGATTTCGTAAACGGCTGAGCGTACATAAACCAAACTTGGTATGCAGACGCTCCTAGTCCCTAGTCTATACGAGTTTATTTGACTTTTTTGAATTTTGTATTTTACTCAAGAATGTAGGGCAAACTTCACCTTTCATTTAAATCAGCAAATAAATAGATACCTTCCTTTCTTTTATTAAATTGAATCATTTTCTTTCATTTTTTTCAGCGCCTCCTAATCTAAGGACAAACATGACGTTGCCATTGCCACGCGCCTGATCAGCAAACCGACAGCCAGCAGAATGTTCAGTCTGCTCAGCAGCTCACAGATCTATGGCTTGCAGCAAACACCAGAGAACACAGCCGAAGATTACCAGAAAAAGAGCAACAGCTTGCCCCACAAGGCCCACAAACAGCCTTCCGCACAACATCGGCGCTCCACCAGCAGTCTGTCGGATACGGGTGGCAAATTCTTCGCCACACTCGCCGCCAAATCACCGAGCACCCTAATTGAAAAGTTCATCGGCTACGATACTGTTAAGTCTCAGGGTAGGACACCGGAGGATAAGTTGCATCAGCAGGCCACGAACAGTCCTCTGTATAGCAATCTGCAAGCCGACTGGGGCTTCAATTGCCTTCAGGGCAGCTATCGCAGCAATTGTGACGGTGAATTCTATGAGGCAGTCCAGGTCAAGCCGACAACGACATCCACCAGCAGCCACAATGAGATGACCATACGATTTAAAAATTTGTTGGCAGCGACTTCGAGTCCCGCTCCGGGTGCCGCCACCCTGCAAAACTATCAGAAACTACCGGAGCAGAGTCTAACGGCCGAGTTCAACACCCAGTCGGCGGGTCACACGCCGGCCTACAAGAAACTATCCTTTGGACCGCATTCTCAGAAGCAAGGCGCGGAGCATGTAAGTATGGAGTGACAAATTGTAGAAAGGTTTCGCAAAGCCTCTAGTCTTGTTATAGACTGACGACATAATGTTTCGAGGATGATTCGGAACTAACAACTGTTCAGGAATTTTGTAGATTTTGGAGAAGGGATCCCTATCTCTTTTGCAAATATTATATAGCCCATGTTAACCGGAGATAGTGTAGCTTTCCAACAGTGATCCAGCAGATTCAGAGCCAATCAATCAAATATTTCCTCTTTATAATAAGTATTAGTATAGATAAGATTTGAGTTTGAGAAATTTAGATTCACAGTACTAATGCAAAGTCGTCATGCACTTCTATGTAACCTTTGCGGATAATGTTTTAATTCGCTGCGGGTTGCGCGTGCAAGTCGTGCTATAAAGTGCTAACAATGCTGACAAATTTTTATCTGCAAGATACGCACACCTGGCTACGCGACTTATCAGAGGGGCACGCTGCTGCATTAGATAGAGATACTCTTAGCACATATGTACATACCTTGGCTGTGCTCTCAGCTCAGTAATTGACCTGATAAGCTTGAGCTGCGGGTGATTCGCCTTAGTCCCAATCGACCAAAAAGTAGCGCAATGTAATTGCCACACTTTTTTGAATGTTTCGCATAACACAAACGCAGATACGCGCTCAATTGGAAGTATCTGCGCGTACGTGTTGTTGGGTAGTAACAAAAAACTAGAGTTGGCCCCATCGCGCAGCCCGAAACTGATCACATATTTTGGCCTTCAAAATGGGTCGACAAGGGTCACAAAACAGTTTGGTAAATCATTGAAATATATAACTTTCCCCAATATAATAGAGATTTTATTAGACAGAACATATGGAGAGCTTTTCGACAGAATTCAACTTGGCAGACTAGCCATACACGACTCCGGCGAAGAGACCTCCCCATCCAGCAATAAGAGTTAGGGCCGTAATTTTAACAATTAATTGTAATTTATTAAATAACTTTATTAGATTAAGATTTGACTAGTTGTCGTAAGTCTACGAGAGAGAAGATTCGATTTATTAAGAAACCTAATTCACTTAGAATACAATTCCTTTCTTCTGCTCTAATTAGCTATTCTTTTTTGAAACTTTGCGCGTCATTAGCGTTCCCGATTCGTCATTGTTTCTGCCATTTCTATCTATCCGAGAACATACGTACGTACGTAGTTATCTGGGCTAGCGAGCAGTAAGGCATTAGGCTGAGAGATAGCTTTTATCAATCTATAGCAGCTACTTGCATAATGCCGAAAAATGTTTGTCAGTTGTCAGTTGTTGCGGGCCTAGAGATGATTGCGACTCTCACAAAATGGTGGGACGTTGCGGCTTCATGCCTCTTACAGAGGTCTTATGGTGTAGCGAGGTTAAATCTTAAAATCCTAATCCCTTTCTCTTTCCTTCCCAACAGAGCTCAGATAATTCGCAATCCTCGCTCTCCACAATAACAACAACACGCAGTAGCACACAAAAGTCCAGCGGCAGTGAGGTTCAGCGTAGCTCATCAGGCTCCTCCTCAGGCTATGAACCCAACATGGCTTCAGCCCATGCCTGTCCAGAGCGCATGCAACGCCGCAAGTTGCTGCAAATGATCTCCAACTATGACCAGCAGAACAAGCAGCTACATCGCGAGTTGGCCAAAGAGAAGCGGCGTAGGACCGAGGAGCTAGCCTGTGTGGTGAAGTCGCTGCTGTGCTTCGAGTCGAAGCTCAAGAGCGACATGAAGACGGTGAATCAACGCCTTCTGGAGAAGGATGCCGAGATATGCCGGCTGGTGCGTCAGAATCGCGCCCTCCGCAAGCGTCTGGAGAGCGACAATCGCGACGAGGGTATGGTAGCCGATCAGGATGTAGCCGACGATGCGGCCGAGGATGCGGTCGAGTGTCTGGTGCTCGAGGCTTTGCAATGCAACAATTGCCGCAAGCAATTCTATGACATTGAGTTGAGAGCAAACAGCACGCAGAGGCACAAGGAGGGCGGAGGACACAAGGACGGCAGCCGCACGGGTAAGACAAAAAAAAATAATATACCCACATATTTATACTATATACTTACCAATCTATCTCTTTTCTTTTACAGTGGAGCACTGTTCGTCGAGCGATGACACTTTATCTTCGTCCTTCTACGGAGCCAGGCGAAGTGTGCGCTATACAAGCAAGCGGACACCCGGAACCTTCCGGGACTACATGCGATCGCGTGCTATGAACATCGACGATCCGGCACTAGAACAGCAGTCGGAGGAGAACACAAGCAACATTAGTCGCGAGGATTCGCAGACCAGCTACGAGCAGCTGCACAACTATGCGCGCGCTATGGAGCGCATGCATGGAATGAAACCAGCTCCCATGGGCGAGGAGGGTGACTACTCCGAACACAGTAGTCTGGAGATCTGCCAGCAGCAGCCGCATCGCAGCAGTTCGCGCGCCAGCCACAAGAGCTCCGCGTCGAGTCGCAGCAGCAACGGCAAACAGACTCCCTCCATTGCGCAGCTCGAGGAAGACGATGGGATATTTTCGCCCACGCAGGATGACGAAGATTTCGATGATCTGGATGAGGAGGAGCAGCTGCTCGCACGTGGTGCTATCAAAATAGTGCAGCGACGTTGTGCTGAATTTTCGGAGGCGTCGCCCAAGCAAATCTACGAAACATCCACGGACGACTGGTATGCCAGCGCTTCGGACCAGGAGGAGCAGCTCAGCGCGCGGGCCACAATTGCTACCAAGTGCTATGGACAGGGTGCTGTTAATCCTGTGCTCGAATGCGTCAATCAAATACTGCTGCAGCAGTCCATGGAGGATACGGTTCGAGAGTCCCCCAAGCCGTTGCATCAGCATTCTCCGCTCGCACCAAAGTCTGTGCTGGTCCCCAAATGTGGGGATGGCGCCAACAGCTTGCCACGACGGAGCTCGCTGAGCGGACGCAGCAACAGCTCCAATACACCTCCATGTGTCTCCAATGGACGCAAGCGCGTCCACTTCTCAACCAAGAACAGCATGGTGCACGTGCCACGCCACGATGACGAAGATGACGGCGAAGGGGACATGGAGCACGAAATGATCTCACACTATCATCCTATGGTAGCAGTGGCGCCTCCTCCGGTAGCAAACGAGACGCTCAACTACGAAAGCATCTACAGTAACGAATACGAGCCAATTGGTTCGGAACGTGCCTCCAATCTATATGTGGACATGGACTCCAATAACAAAAACTTGAACGGAGAGAGTCTTGCAACAGCTGTCGGTACAACTCCCAAGCTATGTAAAGTACCGCCTGCGCTGCCGCCGAAGCCTGCCAACTTGCTGAAGTTCAAGAAGTCGCTGCAGCAGCTGGACGAGGTGGCCGATGAGGCGGATTGTGCCGCCTCCACTACCACGGCCACGGAGCCGGACTATTGCTCGATCTCTGAGGTTGGCGTAACGAGCGTGCAAATCGTTGCTGACATCCATAAGGCGCCAACACCATCGGAACTGGAGCTAGAGGTGTCCACAGTGGCTTCCGATGACACCTTTGCCGTCGCTTCGCAAAAGACTGAGGAAATCGAAGAGATTTTCGCTGACATACCAAAGTTACCCAATGTGGCGGCCATTATAGCACCAAAACAAGCTGCTGACTATCTGGTAATGGCGCCAAAAACGAGCCTAGAGGCGCCCACCTCCCTATGTCTCCAGTTGCCTACACACTCAGCCTCTTCCAGCCAGCAGTACAAACGCAAGCATGTGCCAAACATTCTGGCAGAGATCAACAAACGCATGAGCTTGCCAAATTCCCCGACTACACCGATAGCGCACAAGACTCCATCTGTGACAACCCCCACCAAATCAAGAAGCCTAATCCAACTGGCCGACGCGTCGCCGGTGCTGCCTCTGCAGGCCGAGTTCGATTGGTATAATTTGGATGCAGAATATGGAAAGACAGCGAGCGCGGAAAGTCCCAAGGCACCTGAAGGGATGCTGGAGGAGATAAGCGAGGATAACGAGTGTGCAGACACTACGGCCGACGAATACAATCTGGATGAGGAGTTCAATTTGCACCCCGAAAATAGTGAAGTTACTGATGACAATCATGGACAGCGGGAGCAGGCTCAAGAGATGCCACAAGAGCCGACACAAGAGCTGCCCACGGCACCTCCAGTCGCAAAGGCCAAGAAAATAAAGAAGAATTTGGTTTGCTTTGAGAAGTTCATCGAGGGTTCTGGCATGAGCACCAAGCCCTTGCCAAGCAAACGCAAAATTTATTTCTCTGGTCCATTCGTTTAAGCTTTTTGTGTCAATATAACAATGACAACGAACTACAATTGGTTATGTTTAGAACGAATTTAAGCCTTTCCCTATGTCTCAACTTAAGTTTTGATGTATGCCTGTATGCAAAGGATATTGTTTATTTTTAAATTGGATAGTATTAACATTTTTAGAGAATTTTCGCATGAATAAACTGAAATCAAAGAAAACAAATAGAGTTAACAGAGTGTGAGTGGAATTTCCCAGAAACCTATACGACTAGATACAAATCTGGATAATTTGTAATTAATGAGTGTCGATGTCGGTATTGGTTTTGTAAATTATTTTTATTAACTTGCGAATAACATAACAGTTGGACATTTGTATATACGTCGCCACTCCTACAGAATTCGAAGGCTGCAAGAAATGTTAAATCTTGCTTATGCGATGATGGTAGCGCCGTGATTTATCTACTCAGGAACGAGCTTACATTGTCGGATTCTGGCTGGCTAGTTGAGCTATGCCAGGCCCCTGGTATTAGTAATTTCGAAAAATCTTTGGTATACAAAAAAAATTCCTTTCAATTATAGTATAGCATTAGCAGACATGGGATACTATATAAACATTGGGAGAGCGGTGCTGGAACATGAAATCCCAAATGAATGTAGACTCCCTAAATATGAAGTTGACAAAAATTATTTAAAAGGATCTATCTTTAAATCTACTTCCTGTTGGGAAGTAGTTTTAAAAAGCCTATTATACTGCCTTCTAGGCCTTTTGCTGATCACTACATAGAAAAACGTAGGCTATCTGTTATTTATTCATTAGACTTGGTTGTGCATTAATACATCCAGTGCGAATTGTGTGCTTGTTCATTGGAAAAAGAACATAAATTACGAAGCTGCCAGGTTGGCTTACACATACAATTACAAACACGTACACAAAAAGCAGATACACCCAAAGGGTAATTACATAATTGGCAATGTATAGCGAGACTAAACTTAAATGTAGTGAGAGCATTCAACTAACAACATGAAGGATCTCAATTGAACCTCCTAATACAAACTGGTCTTTTTCATAATGCGCAGGAACTCTTCCTGATTAACTTCACCATCGTTATCCAAGTCAGCTTCATCAATCATTTCCCGCAGCTCCTGAAATTGCCATTTGATAAAATTGATCAGGGGTTTGTCACTTCGTAATCGGCACACTTTAGAGGAAACACAATATACCAACCTCGTCGGTGAGCGTTTCGCCCAACTCGCGTGCCACTCGTTTGAGATTCTTGAATGAGATTTTGCCCGTCTCGTCGTCATCAAAGAGGCGAAACGCCTTCAATATCTCTTCTTTGGTGTCCTTTTCCGCCATTTTCATGGTCATCAGGTAGAGAAACGAGCTAAAGGCTATGCGGCCAGTACTATCCTTATCGATTTCTGCTATCATGCGTTTAATTTCCTCCTTCTTTGGCTCGAAGCCCAAGGCGCGAATGGCCACCTTTAGCTCCTTAACCTCTATGAAGCCGGTGGAATCATTGTCGAACAAGTCAAACGCCTCTTTGATGTCCGACTTCTGTGCCTCCGAGAGCTCAAATTTAGGACCCGACTTCTTGCGACCAGGCTGCGTGCTTCGTTTATTGTTTGCCGCCGCAGGTGCGGTTGTGGCTGCAGCTGTGGTGGGCTCCATTACCGATTCTGAGCTATTTTAAAGAATAAAGACTTGCTTAATGAGCGGCCTATAATTTCATAACACACGCAAATGTCGCAAAGACGTCACACTATGGTGTTGCTCACCTTGACTTTGGAGGGGGTGGTAGGGGCGCGTATCCTTGCACTTACAGTTACTCTTGCTATCCTTCAAAACTACTCCCACTCCCTTCTAAAAGCTTGCTAACAAGCTACGGGGGTGGCGAATGATTGTCAGTTTGTGTGTCTGTGTTGGTTGCTGTTTGGATGCAATAAATAAACAGCTGCACTTATCGTTAAAGCCACTGGGGTTACTCGGACTACACAAACTAATCTTTTTTAATGGGGGTGTGTGGCGACAGTAGACGCTATTTTGTTTAATACAACAATTATTTATATTTATCGTACGCGATTTATTCGATTCGTTCACCAGTTTTTGTTTACGGCCATCACAGGTTGTCGTTAGTGTGACCTTTCGTCAGGTACAAAAAATACCGAAATTTTGAAAAATACTATCCCTTGTATTGTGGCGCTTGGCCAGAATTTGTGCGCTTTTTCAAATGTATTTTTAAACTTATCAAAACAAATGTCACGGACAAAATAAATAAAAATGTTACTTTATAAATGGGGTTTTCTGCAAATTATAGCTTACAACTGTACCCACTTCTACAAAAAATAAAATAAATTTAAAAAAGATGAACAATTAATTTCTACGAAACATTTAATAAAATATTTAATACATTTGTACATAAGTTGAGACACATGTATTTATGTACAGTTACAATAGCATACAATAACATCTGGTCGATTTTGAGTACAAAATTCTAAGAATTACGGGAGTTATGGAAATTCACTAATAGCGGCAGGTGTATCAGAAGAAAAAAATTAAAAGTTTAGTTCTCATAACTCTTGCTGAGATCGTTGCGCTCATACTGACAGGACTATATCGATTCGTCTTGTCATTACGAATCTACATATGTACGAATAGAGCAAATTTCATTGGTAACTTAAGCAACCTACAAAGCTATCAAAATTAGGCGACAAAAGGTAAATAATAACACTCATTTATTATGCAAAATGACAGGACACTAAAGAACTGTGGGCGTTGATATCACCTTTCGTGGTCCATGTTCTTCTTAGATGATGATGCACTCGACGTCGTTTGCCGGTTACCGGGCTTTTGTTTTTATTCTAATATTCGCGCATAATGTTTATAAAGAAAAATGAAAGACCAAGGCATAATGCAAAAAAATTAAAGTCTTTGTTTTGATTTCTGTCCGCATATTTTATACCAGTTTTGTTCGTCTGCTCTTTTACTTTCGCAAACGACTTAAGAACGTTTGTGCCGGCTGTTCTTTTTACCCTTTTTTTTAACGCTGGCGCTGCAAATTTTCATATAAATAGGTGCGTTCTTAGCGCGATCGCCAACAGTTTGGATTTGACGCGCATGCGCGCCGTTGTTGGGTCGGCTTAAAAAAGTGTACGGTACTTGTCTCTTTTTGGAATATACATATGTATATTCAGTAACTAAGTGAGTGTGGAGAAAATTGTAATGTAAATAGTGTAGCAGTGTAGTGTATGTGTGGACGTAGGCACTTTCTTTGTAGAACTTTGAAGAGCGGTGTGGAAATTTGTGTCGCCTGATCAAACAGTAAATGAAAATAAAATGCATATAAAGTGCTGTGGTCATGAATTTTGTTAAACTCTTGGCACTTAAACGTGAAGTGCATACGAAATTGACTGCTGCAATGAACAGCAAAGCCTGTAACATTTTGGTTGCTTTATGTGTTTTTAATAGTGCCACAATAAACTTTTTAGCCAATTCTCAAAAGTGTGTGTGTGTGTGTGCATTAGGGCTTTATATTCGTTCGTATTATACTGAAATAATTCTATGTCGCAGTATCATAACTTCCACGCAAGCAAAATGGCTTACAGCCAACCAGCTTTCACTCTATCCCCTAAAACTCCACTAAGAAAGCTGCGAACAACGTAGAACCGGCTACATTGCGCAATCTCTTGCCACATCATAAATATGCAAAAAGGATCAGAAAGCCATGTTCTGACGTTCAATGAACCCAAACAAGAAGAAAACCTGCCCACTGCAGCCGTTGGCTTAATCGCAAAAGTTGCTCGACATCTTTTCACATGCTGGTTCTTTCGCTGCCACCGCCGAGGGTTACATTTCTTTAATTACCATAATATCGGCGATGTTATGTTTCATTATCGTTGACCGGCGCCCACAGCTAGCTGGGGAAAGAATAGAAACCGGTCTACATCGTTATGCTATTAACCCAATTCTAACGGATTAGCATTTTTGCCAAAAGACAACAAGTTAACAAAGCAGACCAAAAATTGTGAAACAATGAAAGCTGGACGGTCAACAAGGGCCTTAGTAGTGTTGGCGGAAAGCAAACCAAATGCTGACAAAATAAATATTCAAACTTGTTAACGTAAATTGTTTGCTTAAAGCAGTAGGCCATAACGTAATAGAAGTTGAATGTGTTTATGGCTTATCCCAATATTTGTGTACATTTTGGGTCATCGTTTTCTAATTTAATGTATTTTAAGACATTTATTATAATTAAATCTCTCTGTTTTGCAAACCATAACAAATTTGAAATTTATCACCAATCGGCACTTCAATCGAACTCCTTTAATTTGTGTGATATAAACAAAACAAATTATGAAATTAATTATTGGCTGCGGTTTAGACTCAACATCAAAACATTTCAAGCGAAAAAATAAAACAAGTTTCGCATCAACAAAAAATACCTTAAATATTGTTCAGCCTGGGAAAGTAAAGCAATTCGTAAAGTAAAAATATTTGTAAATGGGCCTTCACAAATGAACTCGTACTTATCTATAGAAGTAGAACAATTAGTTTAACATTAGTAACCATAGCTTAATCTTTACAAAACTGAGGCCTTTCATTAAGTTCCGGACTAAACAAACACCTACTTCCCAATTTGTCATCAAGTTCGAGCCTCATTGTTATGTGAGACAGGGTGCATAGCCACACGTAATGTGAGGACAACGCAAACGTGACGAAGTGCGTGAGTGTATAATTCATAAAGTATAAATTGTTAACAAATGCTATACGTACATACTACATATACGATGCCTGTTCAAAAGAAAAGGTGGTTTTTTGTTATGTATTTATTTATTCATACAATTTCCTTTAAAGCAATCCCCCTCAGATATAATGCACTTATGCCAGCGCTTCCTTCCATTAATCCCATCAGCTTTGGGTACAGGAAAAAGTGGCAGGGAGCCAAATCTGGGGAATACAGTGGTTGAGGCATGAATTCGGGGTTGTGTTTGTTAATACAAGTACATATTCTATGATCCATTTTGTTCAAAAGTCCGATCGAAGAACACACAAAAACGTGACTAACCTTCTCAGTTGCCTACAACAAACTACTTGTACTAATCCAAATTGGCTGATAATGCCAACAAATGATATCACATGATAATCGAATGTAAACAGCCCGCGAAAAAAAAAATTCAACATTCACCCATTCTTTTGACCAGACCTCGTATGTACTATATAAGCCTCATTGTGTGTAGCTGCATGTTATATTCATAACAGTGAGTATTAAAGAAGGATAACCGCTCCAGTGAGACAGGAAGTACAGAATAAAATTTTTGAATAATCAATACACATCTGCCTTAACCTTGAACAATCGAAGATCCATAATTTCAATTTATATTTGAAGAATGCATATCAAGTGAAATACAAAAGTTTTCACCCTATTCCAAAGAAAAGTATTTTTAAAATATGCTTAAAATAATTAAACATAATATTTTTTGTTTGAATTTGTATAATTCTTTTGAAAAAGGGTTGCTTATCAGTAAAACATGATGAAAAATCAGCTGAAATTGAACTGATATAGAGCAGTGAAGAATTTTAAAAAATTTAATATTTTAAATTCTTAATAATATCATAATTATTCTTTATTGTTTCCGCAGAGAATTAATAAACGAACAACGAATCAGAATACTTATAAAGGGCAAGGAGCTTTGAATTAGACAAAGATGCGTAGACGTGCTGCGCTTTGTAGCCTGCTGGTAAGTTTTTACAGAAGTTATGGAAAGTTACAGAAATTATAGAACTATTTTTGTATTTCTGGTTCCCATCAGCTTTATTACCTTTGGGCAATGGCAGAGGCTCACATAAGAATAGAGGCCCCAGAAGTGCACTTTGCATCGCACTATAAGCCGGCATTTGTGCGTGCCGCTGTAGAGAGCATGCCTCTGGAGGATGAGTCAGCAGAGGCGCTCGAAGGTGGAGCCCTGAGTCGATTCAGCATGCGGCCCTCATTTGGTGACACATTCTTTCCATTACGCAGCGCCGTGGAAAGTGTGCCGACTGTTGATGTACGTACCATTGCCCAGCTGCGGGAATCTTCGCCGTTCCGGTCATTTGTTCGCGACTCGGTAGAGGCACCACCTACCGATGACGAGGATGATGATGATGAGGTTCCGCTGACTTACGGGAGCTATGTTCGCACAGGCAGTGATGCTGATGCCGCAGATGAGAGACCGCAAAAGATAAGTGCGTTAGTAGAGCCGGATCCGTGGACAGTTTCCGATAAGTACGCCGCCTTTATTGCTCCCAGTTCATCGGATGGTTATAAGCCGCAGCCATATCGTGAGGGCTCCCCGCATCAACAGCTGCTGAAGTCTGTGGACATAGAACAACTAGAGCACATCGATGAGCTAGATCCCTACAGGGAGCAACAGTCCTATGGCGCCTTGGCCCATGCGATGGACGATGAAAATGGCCCAGCCTATGGCGCCTTGGCTCAGATCAAAGCAGCAAGCAAGCCAACAAACACCAAAATAAAATACAACAGCTCTCCCAAGGTTCTCTGCTACATGTCCAATTGGGCTTTTTATCGCAAAGCTGATGGACATTTTGTGCCAGAGCAACTGGACGGAAAACTATGCTCCGCTATTGTCTACTCATTCGCCTCACTGGACCCTGATCACTTGACTATCCGTGAATTTGATCCCTGGGTTGACACAGAGAACCAGTATTATCAACGAGTAATGGCACTGGGTGTTCCTGTGCTGATTGCCATGGGCGGCTGGACAGATTCAAGTGGTGACAAGTACTCGCGCCTGGCTGGTGATGACATCAAACGAAAAGTGTTTGCCTCGAGTGTTGCAGGTTTCGTTAAACGTCACGGTTTTAAGGGCTTACATTTTGACTGGAACTACCCTAAGTGCTGGCAGAGCGATTGCTCCAAGGGCCCGATAAGTGATCGCCCTAACCTTACGAAACTACTCCGTGAGGTGCGTGCCGAGTTTAACCGAGTGGACAAGGCATTGCAACTAGGCGTCGCCATTTCTGGCTACAAGGAAATTATTACTGAAGCATACGACCTCTCCGATCTATCGAATATTGTGGACTACATGACTGTGATGAGCTACGATTACCACGGGGCCTGGGAGAGTCAAACGGGCCACGTGAGTCCGTTGTATGGTCGCCAAACTGATAAGTATCCCCAATACAACACAGACTACACAATGCAGCTGCTTGTCAAGATGGGAGCCAAGCGCGAGAAACTTATCATGAGTATACCATTCTATGGGCAAAGCTTTACCTTGGCGCAGGACAGCAGTCGGTTGGTGGGCGAAGGAGTGCCTACTAATGGGCCGGGCGATGCTGGTGAATATACAAAACAGCCCGGAATGCTGGCTTACTACGAAATTTGTCAGCGTATACGCAAGCAGAAGTGGCAGACAAGTCGCGATGCGGAGCGTAAATCAGGACCCTATGCGATGCTGCGCAATCAGTGGGTGGGCTATGAAGATGCAGCATCGGTGGAGGCAAAAGCTCGTTATGCCGTCAACAACGACTTTGGTGGGGTTGCTGCCTGGACCGTAGACTTGGATGATTTCCAGAATAGGTGCTGTAGCGAAGCCTTCCCGTTGCTCAAGGCCATTAACCGAGCCTTGGGGCGCATAGATTCTGAGCCCCCCACGCGCAGCAACTGCGAACGACCACCAGAACCAATTACGCCGGTACCGCCGCAGATGACGACGGTTAGCAGTGATGGATCCTCCGGCGGAGGACATCAAGAACACACTACACCCTGGCAAAGTTGGCAACCAACCAGTAGCACTACAACAAAGCGACCCAAAACGACAACCACTTCTACTACGACAACAGCATCGACGTGGTGGTCTTCCACAACGACGACTACTCGAAGAACAACAACCACAACACGAGAACCACCAACGACAAAAACGACGCGTCGTCCTACAAATCCTACTAAAACCACCGCACGGCCAGCACACACAACTATTCCTGTCCCAGCGCTAGTTTACCCCGTGGTTCAGCCAGGAGAATGTGAATCAGGTCAGTTCTACGCTGATAATAAAAATTGCAATGCTTACTACCACTGCATTGTCGCCGGCGAGCTTCGCCAGCAATTCTGCCCTGGGGGACTTCACTGGAATAACGAGGTTAAGAGCTGTGATTGGCCCTCATCTGCACAGTGTAGGGAAAGTAAGCCACAAGCTGCACCTCGTCCTACTGTACGACCCTCTACATCACTCCCACCACCCGTGCCTAGCAGCACAAAGAAGCCAAACAAACGCAAGACCACAACGACTTCTAAGCCCAGTCGCAAGCCGAAACCAAAGCCTACACAGCCTATTCAAGTGCAAGTCTCGAGTACCAAGCCTCCTCCTAAGCGCACAACAAAGAGGCCACGTCCCCAGACAGCACGCTGCAATGAAGGCGAATATTATACTCATCGAAACTGCGGTCAATTCTACATTTGTATCAACGGCGCACTGGCGGCCAATGCCTGTGGCGGCGACCTCCATTGGGATGCCTTGCGAAAGATCTGTGACTGGCCAGAAAATGTACAATGTGTAACCACCAAAAAATACCTGCGTATAGTGCAGTCAAAAGCCAATCCGGAAGATCCGTGCAACGGAGAGGAGCGAGTACCATACCCGGGCAATTGCTCAAAGTATCTTTTCTGTCTGTGGAATCGCCTCCAAGCTGCCGACTGTGCACCCGGTCTCCACTACAATGAAGCTCTGGGAGTTTGTGACTGGCCGAATGCAGCCAATTGCAAAGAGAGTGGTGGCGTTGGAAGCACAGGTCAAATTTCTGGCTCTAAGCCACCACCAGCTGCCAAACCAGCTCCTACAACCAAGAAACCCAGCACCACACCGCGACCTACTTACCCAACTGATAAGCCGCTTCTTCAGCCCTTGGATGGATATTTCAAAGTCGTCTGCTATTTCACCAATTGGGCGTGGTATCGCAAGGGCCTCGGCCGATACACGCCTGACGATATCAACACTGATTTGTGTACCCATGTGGTATACGGTTTTGCCGTTCTTGACTATTCAGAACTTATTTTGCGCACACACGATTCCTGGGCGGACATAGACAACAATTTCTACACGCGCGTCAGTAGCCTGCGTAGCAAGGGTGTGAAGGTTAGTCTCGCACTTGGTGGCTGGAACGACTCCCAAGGCGATAAATATAGCCGCCTAGTTCGCAGCCCTACTGCACGTGCGCGATTCATCAAACATGCGTTAGAATTTATAGAGAAATACGGTTTTGAGGGTCTTGATTTAGACTGGGAATATCCGGTATGTTGGCAAACAGAGTGCAACAAGGGCTTTGCTGAAGAGAAGGAAGGTTTTACCGCCTGGGTACGTGAGTTGTCCGAGGCTTTTAAGCCACGGGGCCTGCTCCTTTCGACGGCTGTATCGCCAAGCAAAAAGATCATAGACGCTGGATATAATGTGCCTGAGCTGGCACACTATTTCGACTGGATAGCCGTGATGACCTACGATTTCCATGGGCAGTGGGACAAAAAGACTGGCCACGTTGCACCACTGTACCATCACCCTGACGACGATTTTGATTACTTCAATGCGGTGAGAAATAATTTAAATTACTGCCTGTTCTACTCTATTCAATTACAACTTTTTCGGAATTATAGAACTTCTCACTGAACTACTGGATTGAGAAGGGCGCCCCTTCGCGCAAGATTGTCATGGGTATGCCACTATATGGCCAATCATTCACACTGGAAAATGCAAACAATAACGGATTGAATGCAAAGGCACCAGGGCCAGGACAAGCCGGTGAATTCACAAAAGCTGCCGGATTCTTAGCATACTATGAGGTGAGTAGATTCCATTTAAATTGTATATCAACCTAAATGTACAACTGCCCATCAGATATGTGAACGTGTGAAGCACCAAGGCTGGGAAGTGGTGCAGGATGAGCGAGGTCGCATGGGACCGTACGCTCGCAAAGGAACTCAATGGGTTTCATATGATGATCCAGAAATGATACGCAAGAAGTCACAACTGGTTCGCGCTTTAGATCTTGGAGGCGGTATGGTCTGGGCCCTAGATTTGGATGACTTCCGTAATCGGTGTGGAGACGGCGTTCATCCCCTTCTTCGCACAATTCACGCTGTTTTAAAGGATCCCCCTAGTGGCTATGAACCAGCGCGTAAGTAGAAAATAATTGAGGTCTCCTAATCATGTACATATTCCAACGGTTTACTTTTTCCAGCCGGTCTTACTCCCGCTGAGGCAGAATCCGTCGAAGAACAAGGCAACTCAGAAGAAATAGCAGCGTCTGTAGAAAATGAAGCGGAGCAACCCGCACAAGAAGCCGTTGGGCCATCAGGGGAGGATACTGAAGACGGTGAAGATGTCGGTGGAGAAGCAGAGGAAGAAGACGTGGTTGTTGATATGCAGAGCTCTTCCCAGGAGAGCAGTAATGAAAGCCAGTCGTCTCAAGAAAACGAAGTGGATCCCAATGATGACGTTGAAACAGGTATCGAACCACAATTTCCCACTGCAGGCATGAGCAATGGAGATGAAGACTTTAAGGTTGTGTGTTATTTCACAAACTGGGCCTGGTACCGGCAGGGAGGTGGAAAGTTCCTGCCAGAGGATATTGACGCTGATCTCTGTACGCACGTCGTTTACGGCTTTGCTGTTCTTAACCGTGAAAAACTAACCATTCAGCCACATGACTCGTGGGCCGATCTGGATAACAAGTTCTATGAACGAGTGGTGGCTCTGAAACAAAAGGGCGTTCGAGTCACTGTTGCGATTGGTGGCTGGAATGACTCAGCCGGTGACAAGTACGCCCGTTTAGTGCGAAGCGCAACGGCGCGAGCACGTTTTGTTCGTCACGTTGTAGAATTCATCGAAAAATATGGCTTTGACGGCCTGGACTTAGACTGGGAGTACCCTGTTTGCTGGCAAGTGGATTGCAAGAAAGGCACTACCGATGAAAAGGATGGGTTCACTGAACTAGTACGCGAGCTCTCGGAAACGTTCCAACCGAAAGGTCTCCTGCTCTCGGCAGCCGTTTCGCCTAACAAAAAAGTCATCGACGCCGGGTACAATGTTCCTCTGTTATCCAGCTATTTTGATTGGATTGCGGTAATGACCTATGACTTCCATGGACAATGGGATAAGAAAACGGGCCATGTAGCTCCCATGTACAGCCACCCAGAGGGTACGGATACCTTTAATGCCAACTTTTCTATTAACTACTGGATCCAGAGCGGCGCATCACGCAAAAAGATTATTATGGGTATGCCCATGTATGGACAGTCCTTCTCGTTGGCTCAGGCCAGTGATCACGACCTGAATGCACCAACTTATGGAGGCGGGGAGGCAGGAGAGGCTACTCGTGCTCGAGGCTTTCTGGCATACTACGAAATCTGCTCATACATACGTCAGCGTGGATGGAAAGTGGTACGCGATGCTCGCGGGCGCATGGGCCCCTATGCATACTTACGGGACCAATGGGTATCGTTCGATGATGCCCCAATGATTCGTCACAAGAGCGAATACGTCCGGGCTATGGGATTGGGAGGCGCAATGATTTGGGCGTTAGACCTAGATGATTTCAAGAACGATTGCGGCTGTGAATCATACCCGCTGCTTAAAACCATCAACCGCGTCCTTAGAGGATATAGCAGTCCGCATCCTAAGTGTGTCCTGGAAAATAGTGAAAAAACAATGAGTAAGTTGCAAAAATCTGCATCTACAAGAGCTACCACAAGATTTGTCTTTCAGTTGCCGGAGACAAGGAGACTACAACGCCGCCCAAGCCAACTGTTAACACCGGCACTCCAGCTCCATTAATAGAGACGGCATCCAAGGATCCCAACCAGCAGTTGGACTGCAATGGACGTAACTTTGCTGCACACGATCGCGACTGCAACAAGTATTACATCTGCCAAAACGGTCAATTTATTGAGCAAAGGTAAAATAATACATTTAGAAACGTCTCCAATATTGTCCTATTTACACCCGTCCTTCCTTCCTAGATGCCCTGCTGGCCTACATTGGAACGAAAACTATTGCGATTGGCCGAATAACTCCAATTGCGGAGTACGGGCTGATCAAACTACTGCACCACCGGTGGTTCACAGGCCCAAGCCCACAATTAGCAGCTCCTCCGCAACAACACCCACAAAGCCAACTAAAAAACCCTTCACACCACCTAACAAGAAGCCCATTTCGCGTCCAAAACCCACTCCCGCACCTCCACTGGGAAGCACGGAGGACTATAAAGTTGTCTGTTACTTCACTAATTGGGCTTGGTATAGGCCTGGGCAAGGGAAATACGTACCAGAAGATATAGACGAAAATTTATGTACCCACATTGTTTATGGATTTGCAGTTCTAAATAGCAATACATTAACCATCAAGACCCATGATTCCTGGGCCGACATAGACAACCGCTTTTACGAGCGCGTAGTGGCCTACAAGCAGAAGGGTCTACGAGTTACTGTCGCCATAGGAGGCTGGAACGATTCTCTGGGCAGCAAGTACGCACGTTTGGTTCTTGATCCTCAAGCCCGTGCAAGATTCATTGAGAGCGTATTACAGTTCATAGATAAGTATGGATTTGAGGGCTTGGACTTGGATTGGGAGTATCCGGTGTGCTGGCAAGTAGATTGCAACAAAGGAAGTCCAGGCGAGAAGCAGGCCTTTGCCGCACTGGTACGAGAGTTGTCCGCAGCTTTTAAACCACGCCAATTATTGCTCTCGGCAGCAGTTTCCCCCAGCAAAATGGTGATTGATGCCGGCTACGATGTACCCACTCTATCGCGGTATTTTGATTGGATTGCAGTGATGACTTACGATTACCATGGGCATTGGGATAAGCAGACAGGACATGTTGCGCCCCTTTACTATGTGGATGGCGATACAAACAAATACTTCAATGCCAACTACACCATACACTACTGGTTGGATCAAGGAGCGCCAGCCAGCAAGCTCGTCATGGGCATGCCTCTGTATGGTCAGTCATTTTCATTGGCCGATCAAAAGCATCGTGCTCTGAATGATAGATCTATCGGACCTGGCCAAGCGGGCACCTACACACGTGCCGGTGGCTTTTTGGCCTACTACGAGATATGTGAGAAGGTAAACAACGGTGGCTGGACTTTGGTGCGGGACGAAGAAGGCCGCATTGGCCCATATGCCTACAGCGGCAATCAATGGGTATCATATGATGACGTGGCCGAAATACGCCGCAAAGCACAGTTCGTCCGAAGTTTGCGCCTGGGCGGTGGCATGGTTTGGGCCCTAGACCTTGACGACTTCCACGGTCGCTGTGGCTGCGGCAAACATCCGCTCCTACGCACACTGAACCAGGAGCTGCGCGGCATACCTGGACAGCGGGCAAGCGATTGCACATAATGCACATAATACTGCATACAATTAAGTAATACATATTACATATTCCAGAATATTTCAACGCTTCTAGGCGCACAATCTGTTCTCAAGATTTTTGCCATTTAGTTGTAATCACAAAGCATAAAATATCCATAGTTGTTTAAACAAAAAACCGTTTTTGATTCTTTGGTATATTTGGCGGCTATGTAGTATTTTTTCGTGTGACCAGAATATTAAGCCAGCTGTTCTCTTTGATTTTAAGTTCGGTTTTTTTTTTGCTCTACATTAAAATGGGGAGAGATTTTCGTCAGCGCAAATGAGAGAGGGCCGGGGACTTGAGAAGAAGCTTTTAACCAAATAAGCTCGGGCCAATTTTGTCGTTAGTCGAACGGACAACTCCATTGCATACGCAACAAATATCTGCGTGCGCGGGTCTTTGTATCTGGCAGTGTCTGTTTTTGTTTGTATACATTTCTCGCTAGGGGGGCAGAGCTTTAAACTACATTATTATCGTCATCATGCATATGCGGCGGAGTGCGTAGAGTACGAAATTCAATTTCCAAGTGACGAACAGCACTATCAGTTCTAAAATGAGACACCAATGCCAGGGCGCTTTCAAGCATTTGATGCGTCACTGGCCGCAACAGCATTCCAAGCAACTGAATCTCTTCTGTCGTCATCAAGCCCAGAACCATGCAGCCACCCTTATCCCCAAACACTTGCCGTTTCTCGCAAGAGGCAACAGGCAGGACTTGCTACTTAGCCCCAAATTTCTGCAGATGCGTATTTCGAAGCCCTACTCGAAGTTCTCCTCATACTTAAGCACAGAGCGAGCCATGGAGTTGATTTGCAATCTGGACGAGGAGGAACGGATTAACTTGCGCGAAGCCATGACCACGCTGGAAGCTGCGAGTAAGAGGCCTGAGGGTAAGTACATTTTATGAAATTGATCTTTTATTTTAAATAAATCTATGGGGATAGTGTTTTAATGCGTCGTCCTTTTGATATTCATTTGTCACAAACTTAATCGAGAGGTATGCCGTGCTGTTTAGCCTGTTCCTTCAAACACTTTCCGTACACTTCGGCGGCTGCGCAATGATCATCTGGCACACTGAGTGCTCCACAAACGGCGCCAATCTCATCGACGATTTTCATTTTGTCAGGGTCGTTCGCTGTATATTCCTTAGCCTTCACGCGTGCAGCCTGCGGATCTAACTTGCCATTGGCATTCATGATTCCCATCTTTTTCATGATGCAGGCTCGAAGGCACTTTCCCTCTTCCGTAGTGGCTGGTAGCTTTTTCAAAATCTCGTCGATATCGCTCTGGGCAGCACCCACCTCGGCCAAGCAATTATTCGCCTTTTCCATGAACATAGCCACTGCAGCCTCCTTGTCAAAGGCAGCACAGATGGCGAAGCCACCGATTGCGACCAGAGCGAGTGTAAGAGCGATGCGTTTCATTTTAGATATTTTCCACAATAATTGTTGACGTTGGGAGACTTGCTGGTTTTTATACAAATTTATTTATTTTCGCCAAACTCTATCAAGTGTGAAATAATAGTCTAGAAATTTAGCAGATTTGCATACTCTGTAATGTAGTAATTAATGCGATTACTAAATAGTATAATTATTTATACCCTGATCGCGACCTTCAGCCCAACAAAGCGTTCATTGTTGACAACGGATATTCGCCCACCAACTCGCAGTTGATCGACACACTCGACTGCTGCGGAATGGCTCTATATGTCTATCAACAGCCAAGCAAGTTCAGACTTTGCTCGAAGTTTGTACCATTGGATTTATTCCCATTGCAACACGTTCACACATGACCAAATGTATTACAGTAGGTGCTTGGTATCTTAAACGGGAATATTGAATATTAAAATTTCTATAAGTCACGGCTCAAACTAATATGCCTTAATAATAGTAATGCCATTATACCCAAATACATTAATCGTTGAAGTAAAAGGGGAAACGTTGGATTTAGTCATCAATGTATCGTTGACGTATATCACCGATAAATTTACATAACATTTACATTTTAGGAAACGACCTTTAAATAATAGATGTTTGTCAGATGTTTATTTACATATACTAATCTGGCTGAGGCTTATTTAAAGGCGCTGATATAATTCTAAGGATTATTTAAATAAAACTTTAACTCATTCGCAATAATTAACTATGAATACTTAAAAACGATTGATTATATAACATCGTTAGGTATTTTACTCTCTTATGATATAAGCAACTACTAAAAATGTGCATAGAAGGCTGTGTAAATATGTACATACATCCTTTAATATGCACAGGTAGTAAAAATCAATATACCTAGCCAATCAAAACAGCGAAAAGGTAATCCCACACGAAAGTGTGTTTCACGTCACACACCTGCAATTTAAAATTCTGCTGCCATTCTTATTCGATTTAAATGAACCACGTGCTTTTGTCACAAAGACGGTCCTAGCTGGAGTTTGTGGCTGTTTGTAGATAAGTCGTAAAAGAAGCAAAGTTAATGACACCACCAAGTCACGTTTCTCTAGTTCTCTCTGGATAAGCAGACTTATCCGTCGGTTCAAAGGCACAAATGATTCCACGAACAATAGCATCATTTGGACGAAGTTCAATTGACGAAGTTGAAATTACAAAGCTTCCTGTACTTGTAGGTCATATTCTACTCACTTTCTTAAACACTCTTACCACCCATGGCATGGCCTTCATGGCATCTGTCTGTTTATTTTAATGTGCAACAAAACAAATGTGAGTACAAACAGCGAAATACAAAGTTTTATAACCTCTAGAGTTTATTTACCAAATAATAATGCTGGAGTATAACGTTTAAGTGAAATTGCTCGATTAGGGCAAAATTAAAGACTGCTAAATTGTCTAATTACGCGAAAAATTAAACAAGGCTAAAAGCAACAGGCCCGCCTCAAGCTTCGCAGCCGTAAAAACTCCCACAAACATGCACACACAAGTACATTTTTAGCCTTCTCTTGCCTATGTGGGAAAGAAGTCCCTCATTTACAAGCCACCAACACATGTCCTTGTCGTATAAAATCGCATCCTACAAGTAGGCAACAAAATGTTTATGAGCCACTGATTGCTTTAAATGGCACTTAACGACATCAAGTCCACAGTGTACGTCGACACATGAGAATGTTTTTGTGAAAGTTGAGCTTTTATGCTCCGACTATTAGATGAGATAAATATTTGAAATGCTTAGACAAGCATTAAGCAATAATTAGCAAGAGCGATTGTTTAATATAGCTTCTCTGGAATATTAACCCAACAGTTCTAAAACTCTGCAAAGAAATAACTACTGAAATTTGAAGTTTTATATCCAAAAACAAGGAATAAATGCTAGAGTGGAGCGAACCCAACTCTTTAATACGGTTTAAGAAGAAGTGGAAAAGCCTGTGTGTAAAAATAATATACATATACATATGTATGTATGTACATACATATAATACATAAATATATATTGTGGGGTTATATTTATACAAGAAACAAATTGCATCCTCATTCATAATCACTACATCTGTAATCATTATTATTATATATTATATTATTATTAGCATATCTACCCATAAAAATATTTAGTTTATATGTATATTATATTATTATTAGCATATCTATCCATAAATACATATATTTAGTTTATGAAAACTATATCTATATCTCTATTTATGCTTAATTTTGCGCAAATGTTTTGTAATTATTGTAATTTTGTTTTTATTTGCACATTTATTCTATTTTGAAAACGATATCAACCCCCACCCACATCAAGAACTTACACAAAGCATCAACTATTGGTCCAACACTCTACAAATACGAAACTTTGGGTTATTCTTCCATGAAGATGGCAGAGGTTAAACGGATATGTCCTAGGAAGCTGTTCAACACTTTAACAATGTAGGGTAAAAATAAAATCAATAACTAATCCCTTCTTAAACAAAGAGCATACCTAATCAATTTTCTGCTCTCTGTAAATAATGTTATTTAATTGTAACTGTTTATTGATCTTAACAGCAAACACGGTGGAGGAGCCAACTGCTGGTGATTTGTGGACCAGTAAGTACAAGTATAGCTTAATCAAATGTCTCTATACAACAGACTATATAGAAGCTAATTATTCAATTTTTCAATGTCTTTTATTTAAAGTTTTCTTTGTGAACGCAGTGCCATTCTTTGTGTTTGGTTTTCTGGATAATTTTATAATGATTATAGCCGTAAGTATAATATTTGTATATTTTGTCCGCTTAATCTGCAATATTGTGCTTGCGAATAGGGCGAATATATTGAAATGCGTCTTAATACTATTATGACCGTGTCAACGATGGCGGCCGCTGGCCTAGGAAATGCCGTAAGCGATCTTTTAAGTATTGCCACTGCCAGCTATGTGGAGAATCTTTGTTTAATGCTGGGACTGAAACCGCCTAAACTTACAGCGGCGCAGTTTGAACTTAAAACAAGCAAACGCGTAATGAGTTGGGTAAGTATATACATTAATCCCATCTTTATAATATGCGTACAGTCGAAGGTATTTTTGGAGTTTCTAATACCATTGCTTTGAAACTCGACCAACAATATGAATATATTTTTTTTGTATTTTGCAGGGGCGGATTCTAGGTATTACTTTAGGATGTCTGCTCGGTATAACCCCTCTGTGCTTTGTATGAAAGGAAGATCATTAGGCGGAGGAACCCAACTGATATCATAAACCAACTAAAATAAATATATTTCCCTGTTAATAACTGTCAATTATTGTACCGCTATTTTAAATATCTACAACTGTTATTTCTGCAACTAAGTTAGCATAACTTGCTGCAACACACAAAGTACCTTTCAACAACTAGCTATGTATGAACCTACTATTAAATCCAACCGCGGTAAACGCAATCGTAGCGTATTTGTAGTATTATCGTGTTATCATAAATTCAAGGCTTAGTGTGGCATCAATTGTGAAAATAAAACAAGCTTTGATTCAAATTAGTTTTTTGGTAAGTGTCTGGTATTTTGGTTACCACGCTAGTATTTATTTAGTGTGACCAAACCACGTAAACAGCTGTTCTCGTCAAGTTGACGTTTGTTGTGCTCTTGTTCTTACTATTGCTGGGAGGGAGTTCTTGGATGCTGAAAAGGAGAGTTTTTCGTAAGTGCGAGTGGCCGAAGCTTTTCGTGAATTAAGCTTGCGTCCGCCGTAACGTTAGTCGAACGAATAATTTCGTTGCATACGCAACAAATATCTGTGTGCGCGGGTCGTGGGCGTGTGCGTGGCAGTTTCGGTCTTTGTTTATATGTATGTATGTATATATCAGTTTGTCGCCTTAAACAACATCATGCATATGCAAATCGCGTAAAGTACGAAAAACAAATTGCTATTGCTTGATACGTGTGTGACCAAACAGCTTAAGTGCGGCAGCATTTCTCGACACGTGCACTTACATTGTATAATAGTTTAAAAATAGCACCAAAACGTCATTATCTAAACAATCGCAACTAAAATGAGACAACAATGTCAGGGCGCCTTCAAGCAATTGGTGCGTCACTGGCAAGAGCAGCATCCCGGTCAACATAGTTTGTTTTGCCGTCGGCTAGCACATAGTCCCACCAGCTACTTCACCTGCACAAACAACAGGACCCACCTGCTGCTGCACAGACCCACCGTGTGGCAGCAGGATCAGCATAGCAAAACGTTCAGTCAGTCTAGCTTCAATCAGTCCAAGTTTAGCACACATCTCAGCACAGAGCGCGCCATGGAACTGATATGCAATCTGGACGAGGAGGAGCGAATAAATCTACGTCAGGCTATGGTCAAAATAGACGCTGAAAAGGAGAAAAAACAGTATGAAAGTGAGTATAAGTAGCATTTCCCCAAAATTATTAAAAACAAATAGAGGATATTATAAAAAGTTTACGGAGCTGCGAACCGCTTGTCATAGTTCTGTAAGCTATATTTAGCGGCCTGTTCATTTAAGCATTTGTCTAGTACTAGCACAGCTTGGCATTGGCCTTCATGATTGCCAGATTCATCATGATACAGACTTGAAGGCACTTTTCCTTGCTCTTTGATGCTGTCATCTCCTTTACAATCTCATCGATATCGCTGTAAGCAGCGCCCACCTCCCACATGAATTTATCCGCCATTACAGCCCTGTAAAAGGCGGCAAAGAATGCAATAGCACGGGTTGCGACCAGAGTGTGTGAGCCTAACACAATTGACAACTTTGATCCCTTCACGCTATTTTATACATCTTGCTAGAACCGAATCCATCAGCTGTCAAATTATAGTCCAAATATACTTGTATAAACATTTCGCAGTCTTATACTGATCATAATGCACCAATCACAGGCATTGCTAAGAACTATTTTTTCAAAAATACGTACCTACACTCACTCATACCATAAAACTGAGTCATAAAACGTTTAGCTCTGCTGAGTACGGACTCAGCCAATATGTTGGCCAAACACAGACAGACAGACAGACAGCCCAGTAGGCGCCAGCTCAGCTGAAGATTTTCCGTACATGTGCCGTTTGCTGTGCGTACGTGACTTACATACGAGTTTATCCAGGCCCAGTACCCAATAAACAGTTCCCTACGCAAAATTACCATCGACATAAAAAATTCGCCGAGATTTTCAATCCCTATCCGTGGAGCTCGACGCAACATGTGTGTTTTGCAATTGGCAAAATCAATAGCTATAATTTATTTACACTCGCAAATTGTTGATTTATTTTGCAACGTGTTGCTGGATTTACGATTACATGTGTACCTTGGTTGTACAAAAGATTTTGCACATGAACTTTTATCTAAAAGGTAGGAGAATATTGTGTTTTAGCTTTAATATAAGTATATACTATACCTATGTAGCATTTGTATACGCCTCTTTTTAAAAACACTTGCAATAAACTAAAAAATATATGTAGCATTTGAATGCAATATTTAAGAATTGCTACAACTTGTAATCCAAATATGTAGTACTTGTATGTATGAGCGTATTTGTGTTAAATATGTATATATACATACTATATATGTGTGTATGCTAAAGAAAGGCAACTCGTTCTGCTTTCAGTTGCTCATTAAAATTTAAGCAGCCCTCACCCGAGCAACAACAGCAAAAAAAATACGAGCTGGCTAAAACTAATGAAAGCAGCATGCGGTGCGGATTGTAAGGGGTTTGAACTCGTATGCCAAGTATTTCGCAAAGTTATTACTAACTTTTCGACTCGTTCTATTACGCCCAGCCGTTGGCGTCATCTGCGTTACACACTTTTTGTTTTCCTGTTAGGCTCTCCGTCAACACGCTGTCTTAACTGTCTGCTGATTGGGCTAATCGCAGTAAATTTTGTGTGTATACGCACGTAACTTGTTGCAGTGATAAGAGTTTTAAACGTTCACTTAAGTAGTGTCATATTATTTTCTTTTTCGTTAGACATGAGAACAAACTATGAAAATAAATTGTAAAATATCACTGAAAGTCGCCTAATACTATACATAACACCGATTGTAGAGGGACTTTCTATTGAATAAATCCAATCATCAACTACCAATTTCCTATACTTCTCACAAATACCATTACGAGTACATATTTGAACAAAATATAGAAATGGGCCTTGTGCCTCCATCTACTTACTTGACCTCAGCAATTGACACGATTTACCAGCGATTAGTGGTTTGTTTATGGCCCTGGGACCTAATCGCGCTCCTCACTTTGAAGCTTTAAACAGGCGGATAATTCAGCCCGTTCGTGGCGGTGCACAGAAACTTCAACAATGAGATTAAATTAAAATTCACCAAAGCTTTGCCATTTATTCCCAAAGCACTGCCTCTGCCTGATAAAGGAGAGCCATTTTATGGCTGTGGATGAAGGCAATTTATAACAATTACCAGCACCTATACGCGCCTGTGCTGCGCCCGAGCTGCACTGAAAGCAGGCCCAAATATTGATAAATTTGCGAAAAAAAAGGATATGCGGACATGTGTATACCACGCTCCGTATACGCAATGTATAATAAATTGACCCACACAGGCCAAAACGAAGGTCATGCATTGTTTTTCAACGCCACTACCATAGCAGACTACTATAGGATCAAAAATCAATAGACAAAAAAACACGAAAAAGTTATGGCTTCCAATAAAAAGGCCATCGCGTCACGCAACTGAACTCTAAACTCAGCTACGAGTATCTTTCTGAATCAATTTCAAGCTTTTAAGTGTGTGCGGATGCCACTATGCGAGTGCTGCTTAAATTTACGCCACGAAATTACGCAGTCAGCGCAAATACTTGCAAATAATGTGGAGCCCCAGTTCGGGGCATTCAACAAGAGCTAAGGCACGAACCGGAGCCACAGCTTTGTGCGCTGTGTGTGCCTTGGAAAGTCATAAAGCATGAAAAGTTGTCAGAATCATCAAGCCACACACAGACACATACATATATAGTAGGTACACACATATTTACGGATATGAATTGAAAATGCACGCTTAAGCTCTCGGATATTGTTTGGGATGCTACAAACGCGCCAGTGGCGCTCAAACGTGGACCCAGGAATATGTGGGATTTTCTCTTGTGCATACGAATTTCCTTGTTTATTCTGCAGATTTAAACAGACTAGTATAATATTTTGAGCTTTTCGTCAAATAGAACTTTTAGGACTATCACATTTATGGAATATAAATAAAAAGGCATGCAGCAAATGGCCAATTTAAATGCTAATGTGTCGGACAATAACATCGAGAACATAGAATAAATTGTATGCAAATGTGACATACTCTCAAAGCCAGAATATACATACATACATATGTGTAGATGCTAACGCTCTAATGTGTACGTACAAGCAAGTATGCTTTGTGGTGCCATGAAAGCACCTGCGGGCCTCAAACAACACTGCCGCACATGGTAATGTTTCCTGTTGCTTCTTCACGGTCATCAGAGAGCTTGCCTTCCCTCAACAGGACTTCGTCGCAGGTCCTTCATTGGCATAGCTTCTGACATCTTCGTGACTTCAAACGTGACAGGACGCCTAAAGTTGTAGTCACTGCCTACTTCAAGGCGCTCTTCTCGGGTGTGTGTGTACAACATGGCCCTGTATGTTTCAATTTGTTGTGGCAGCATCAACAAATGCCATATTGTGGCCCACAGCGAAAATCAAAGCTGGGGAAGGTCGTGCGCAGACTCACGGCCAATTTACGCCACAAAAATCTCCATGGAATTGGGGGAGCATGTACGAGTAAAATAAAACACGCACCGTTTAATGACAGCGACATGTGTGCTGTTTTCACCATGGAAATATTGCGATGGGAACATTTAACTTGATGTAGAATAAAAAATATAAGGTAAACAATACAAAAAAAAAATTGCATCAAAATTACAATAATATCTAATAACAAATCCGACTTGTTCTGTAAATTTCATTTACTCTTCGCCCTGCTGTTGAAGCGAAGAAAAGAAAGAGGAGTTACATTAATATAGCACCCGATGGGTGAATTTTTACTGAGCAGCAAGCAATAATTACCGTTATTTACTTATTTAATAAACAGCCCCCATTGACAACTGAATTGGTAATATATCATTCCTCCCTTTCCATTCATGAGAAGTCAACACTGCACTCAAAGTTCGTGAACTTAAAAACAATTTCGCTTTCACTTTTCAGTAATTATGGCATGTTTTAGATGTGCTGTCGGGCATAATGGCGTCAAAGCAACGCTAAGTGCACAGTTTACACAGACACACGCACACACGCGCACACGTAGAGAGGTGCGGCGCGCTAAAGTATGCTTTGGAAAGCGTCGTGTGTGTGTGTGGCAAAACATTAATTGAGTTGCAGTGAGTCGTGCAGCCCCACAGCGACCTTAACACCTACACACGCCACACCTACACAAACACCTAAACTGCACAAGCTCTGCTATTAAATGCTGCTCTTCTACTGTTTAGATTTTATGCAACTACAAATGCACTATACAAATAGTTCATGCCACAATAGCCTGTGTGCATACAATAGTGGCCATAAAAAGAGGCACACAATTGCTTTCTTCATAAGAATCCTCCCGTTCGTGCAGGAGTTCTTTGTTTCCACTATTGAAATGCTATTAATTGTAAAGTAATACGCAGATAACTACTACTTTATACTTTAATCGCAATACAAATAGGTTAGCTGCATGCAAGGAATCCATTTAACAACCAAGTTTTAAAGTTTTTCTATCAACAAACACTCAAAACAAGATTAGTTTCCCTTCTTCCATGCTCCCAACATATTTAATTGTAATGCATCCTTAGATATTCAAATTTTAAAAGATTTATTGCTGTTTTTCAATTACTTTTCTACCTATAGTATGTATGCGTTTAGCTTTAAGCTCTAAAGAAAATTATAACATTATTGATATTTCAAATATTATTATTTTTTAACTGTACATTTTAACATCTATTTGTAGTAATTCAATTATTTTCTTTTAATTGCATATACCTTTTCTGTTAAACTTAAAATGGCACTTAAAATTGCCCTATTCACATCAACACTTTTTGGAACAACTACACATCTACAACAACATCCTACACATCCATACATTGCAACACCTTGTGCCACACCACAAAGGTCAACTGGCCGTTAGCAGTTGGCGTACTCGGTTTGGACGTCTCTCCCATAAGCCAACACTCTTTCAGGTGGATCCCACCGGTACATTTTGTGCGATGCCCGATGATTGGCTGAGAAAGAAATTGGGTAAAATAAGAGTCAAAAGAATAGCCCAAAGCGCAATAATTAACACACTAACACTTTAAAATATTGCAATTTAAATTATTTAACATTTCCATTCCTATTTGTTTCTTCCACAATGTCCAGTGGAAACTGCCAGGCCACCTACAACGGCCGAGCTGGGAAGCAGTAAGTAAAACATTTAAAAAACTGACGCTGCGGAATTTTATTAATTGAAACATTTATTATTATTCGCAGTTTTCTTTGTAAACGCCGTGCCGTTTATTGTTTTCGGGTTTCTGGACAACTTCATCATGATTGTGGCTGTAAGTATAATATTTTCGATGATCAACTATAAGTGTTTGTAATCTTTTCTCTTTAAAATAGGGTGAATACATTGACTATTATTTGGGTCACTTCATAACACTCTCAACAATGGCGGCCGCTGGCCTGGGCAATACGATAAGCGATGTTTTGGGCATTTCAATGGCCACTTATGTTGAAAACGGTTGTCAGATAATTGGACTCCGACCACCAAAATTAACCCCCGCACAATTCGAATTAAAATCAAGCAGACGCGCGTCAAGTTGGGTTAGTATTTATTTTATTTTTTTCCAATGAATAATTCATCTGAATCGAAATGAAAATAGCTTAATCTTTTATTTGATTTTAGTTTTTTGTGTAAAAAATCTCCGTTCTTAGAAAACTATTTATAATTCTCTTTTGGTGCCGGGTATTCAAATTTGATTTAATCCTTTTATTAAATTTACAGGGGCGTATAATCGGCATTACCATAGGTTGTCTGCTCGGCATGTGTCCACTGTGGTTCTCAAAAGATGAGCCGAAGCCAGAGGAAGCCGAGAAAGGAGACTCAAAAAGTATTGCCTAATTATGGGCTAACTGCCGGTGTAATGGTTTAATTCAGTACTTAATTAGTGTAGCGTCAATTATGTTGCTGTTATATTAATGTGTCTTTTTATATTTAAGTTTACAACTCATTTACTCAATAGCCTGTTTAAATCCTACGACTTGCCTAATAACTATATTGTGAGCCATAATAACGAAAAAATATGAAACTCAGAGTACCTACTGACTAACTATTATTAACATAATGTACCTAATAATTGTACAAAGTCTTTATTGAGTTTGTCACCTTGAAGTACTGATTTCGACTGCACGCACGTCCCTAGAATTTATTAAGCGAATTTGGGCTAATGCTTTATAGAGGAGGCTTCAGCAATACTCAACGAAATATTAGATGAATGCATGTATAAATTGTTAGTGCTAGCATAGTGACAAAGTAGCTGCAAATGGTCCAATCAGATTATCAATATAAACGTACTTGTAAAACAAACTATGTGCAGAAATTAAATCAAAATTAAAAAGTACCCATATATGTATGTATGTGAGTAGAGTTTCATAGTGCGCGAGATATTAAAAATGCTTTACAGGTTTTACTCAGTGTGACATACTTCGGGTCAAAGTTTAGCATGTGTGTGAAACGTAGGTCTTATTTTATTAAAACTATTTTGATTAGAGCAAAAACAGCAAAAAAAAAAAAGCCAATATATATGTTTGGGCGATTATTACGGAATCATTTTTTGCGCACTATGGATTCTAAAACATGAAAGTAAACTGCCTTTCACGAATAACACCAAATTATCAAATATATAGTGATTGTCTTCTTCAAATTGTCCCACTGTAAAGTGCCTCTAACGCTTCAACTAGTACTCTTTCCACATGTATTCCAAAGCACAAAGTGCTGCTTTATATCAACAAGAAACTTTAGTAGGCAACATATAGTATGTATAATGTAAAAGTCCAAATTGTAGAGAGCTTATTAATAAAAGTGTACATTTAACAAGGAAATAAATCAAAAAGCTTCAATTTAAAATTTGTTTTGATGCAAAAATAAAATGTATTTTTTTGGATTTTGTTAGAAGAACTACAGCAATGTACATGGGAGCTTAGAAAGAGCTCATATTATACAGCTAGAGGGGCTTACTATGAAATGAACTAAGAGCATGCCAAGCATTTCCATTGAACCAATAACACCATCAACTATATCAACTTTGGCCACAGTTCAGGCCAACGCATTGAAAACGAGTTCTGCATCATATCACTAAGCAATTGCCAGATGACGGATACGTTTTGCGGAGTCCAATTAGAGTTTTGTCCAAATATCAACACATTTTGAGTAGAGTCACTGTACTCCGACTTGATGTTGAGCCAATGGTGCACAACGTCCTGCTGATCTTGCGCGGCTGGATGGTAGTTTTGAGCCGGAGAAGGATAGCGCATGCTCTCTTCATTCCGAGTCCTTTTCAGTTCATTCAGTCTTGCCTCCTTACAGAATTGTTGCTCCAGTTTTAAGAGTTCGGCTTCCACGTTCAATGCTTGGCAACTTTCATTTGACGCGAGATTACCGCTTATGATAATGCTTGAGATAGTGCCATCATCGCTGCTGACGATGGGTGCAGCCTGGGTAGCATTGGATGTGGGTACTGGAGTGGAAACCGGGGTTGTCAGGGGAGTTGGCGTCGTCGACGATGAGCTCGAAACCGGCCTGCGGTACCACAATGTTCCGGGTATCTGACTGGCTATGAAGAAAGCGCCCGCTATGGTTATGACGCTAGCCGCATAGCTTAAGGCCAACACCAGTAAATTATTCAGCATGAATTTCGCAAGCGTAAACGAGGGCAGCAATTGCATTAATTCGCTGTAAGTTAGCCAGCCACGTCGCAGACCCTCCTGCTGTGCCAATGTACGTTCCACGCTGCTAAGTTTCTTAAAGAATTGTTCGTTCGATATGTAAATGTTCCAGTCCTAATCATATGAATCATTAATTAACATAATTAACAGGTATGATGCAACAACCAACTTACAATCGCAGACAAAAACTCCAGTTCCATTGCTTTAATCCTATCCTCGCTCATGTGACCCTGTTTCGTCCAGTCTTCCAGATAAAAACGCTCATCGTGGCCCGCATAAAATTTAGTCGAAATCATCTACATATATTAAACAAGAAAACAACTTAAATTGCAATACGTATAATGAGCACTTTTAACACAGAATGTTGGCCATATTGTATGCATATTTGTAAACAAAGTACGACTTCTTATCACCATTCTGTTTCGAGTCTTTAAATTAAATAAATCATGAGTTCGTCGTAGGGAATATATGTATGTTCATATACGTATGTATTAAGAATGCCACACATGCATATACACATGTATATGCTCATAGATACATGCTGGTATGCATGTTTGAACGAATATGTGTATATTAAAGAGTGTGCGTGCACTCAGCATATAAATATTGTACATACGTATGTGTTATTTGCGGTTGAGACAATTATCAATCAACAGGTTGTGGTTATGGACGGAGCTCAACCAAATCTATGTACATATGTAAACACATACATATGTATTTAACGGCAGATATGTACATGTATTCATATGTGTTCAACACATTACAATACCACATGATTAAGATGATTACTCACCAAAGACACAACGAACAGCTCCTGTGGCGTGATTCTCCTAGCATAACCAGGATCAATAACATTTAAGCGATCGAGATATATTAATGCCATTATGAGAGAGCATGGTGTCGCATGCATTTTCCCTGCAGTTATTTTCGACAAGCGATTCAGAGAAAAAGAATAATGCGCTTGTGAAAATGAAAATGCTGCGTATTCAGCAAGTGGGCCAGAAACCTCCATATCTTCCTCGTTGCCCACACCATAGTAAAGGGTTTTGCGTATACGGTCGATGAAGTCTTCATGCTGCATCACCTAGAACGTTAATTTTTAGAGTTATATTAAAAGTTTACTTTTGAATTAGAATTTTTACCTTTTTAGAGTTTGCGGTGACGTATTTAGTACGTCCCATTGCTACAAGTTTTTTTTTATGGCTCAGCAAATCGCGAAAATTGCTATTCACAAATAAACGTAAACAGCGCTGCCAACGTACTTCAAACAAACGATATTACGTCGTGTTATGAAGTAAAAGGCTGTCTGTCGCTCATCTCTAGTGCATATGCTATGATTCCATATACGTCATAAGTTGTTGTTAGTAATACCTTTTTAATAAGAGTTAGGAAAGAAACTACATACACAAATTGAAGAGATCGAAAATGTCACGCTTTAGCGGAGCACTCCAGCTCACGGACCTGGATGACTTTATTACACCCTCTCAGGTGAGTAAACATTATCGTTAAATCAGTCAAATGTTCATTAACCGCATCATCATCTCATATTAGGAATGTATTAAGCCCGTAACCATAGATAAGACAAAATCCAAAACCGGCGCAAAAATTACTGTTCAAGAAGATGGCTACTACGAGGAATCAGAGGTAAATGCTTAACAAGAGTGAAAATCTTCTCAATTCAATCAAAACGTTTTAATACAGAGTGGCAAACATAAACTGCAAAAAGTGGAAATCACGCTACAGGACTGTCTTGCCTGCTCTGGCTGCATAACCTCGGCCGAGGGCGTGCTCATTACTCAGCAAAGTCAGGAGGAGCTACTTAAGGTGCTGCGTGAAAACCAAGCCCTCAAAGCAACTGGTGAAACCGATAAAGTACGCACTATTGTTTTCACCATAGCTACGCAACCGATTCTGAGTCTGGCAAATCGCTATAATCTTGGTGTGGATGATACCGCTCGGCACTTGGCCGGATACTTTCGTTCACTAGGAGCAGATTTAGTGCTGGGCACCAAAATTGCTGATGATTTGGCCCTTCTAGAATGCCGACAAGAATTTGTAGAGCGCTTTCGGGATAATCCACAATTAACTATGCTCTCGTCGTCTTGTCCCGGATGGGTGTGCTATGCCGAAAAAACACATGGCAGCTTTATACTTCCCCACATAGCCACGACGCGCTCCCCTCAGCAAATTATGGGGGTGCTGGTAAAGCAGTTTCTGGCCGAGAAATTAGGTTTTTCCGGTTCGCGTATCTACCATGTGACAGTAATGCCGTGTTATGACAAGAAGCTGGAGGCTTCGCGTGAGGATTTTTACAGCGAAGTGAACAGTTCGCGAGATGTCGACTGTGTAATAACGTCAAGTAAGTAATCTATAGTTATCTAACAGCAAAGACGGCAGATTTGATTTGTCCCTCTTTAGTTGAAGTCGAACAAATGTTGCTGACGGAAGACAAAGCTCTGCATTTGTATGATCCCACAGAGCTGGACTGGCCTTGGACGGATCAAAGTCCGGAGAACATTGCTTGGGCTCACGAGAGTACTTTGTCTGGTGGCTATGCCGAGCACATATTTAAATACGCTGCCAAGGAGCTCTTCAACAATACGCTGCATGAATTGGACTTTAAGCAGTTAAGGTAGCAAACGCAGGGTAAAAACTACAAATATAGTAAAGTAGAGACAATTTCTTAAATTGCCCGCTCTTCTCAGACATTTTTTAAAGTATTTGTTCCCGTATTTCCACTAAAGCCTTAATTTATTAATTTGAATATTTATTTTAAAATATTTCATATTTTATTTCCTGTTCCTCAGAAACCGCGACTTCCGTGAGGTGATCCTAGAGAAAGACGGACAGACAGTCCTCAAGTTTGCCATAGCCAATGGCTTTCGCAACATACAAAACCTAGTGCAAAAGCTGAAGCGCGGCAAGGCGTCCTATCACTTTGTAGAGGTGATGGCCTGCCCCTCTGGCTGCGTTAATGGTGGAGCCCAAGTGCGTCCAACAACCGGCCAACACGTGAGCGAGTTGACGCAACAGCTGGAGGCCCTCTACAAGCAGCTGCCGCTCTCCATACCTGACAACACACATACGAAGCAAATGTACAGCGATTTTCTAGACGGCGCCCATACAGATAAAGCCCGCGAAATGCTGCATACAAGTTATCATGCTGTCGAAAAACTGAACTCTGCTTTGAACATCAAATGGTGAAGTTCTAATGAAAACTGTTATTGTTAATACTTATCTACATAGTAGGGTAAGATGATTAGAAATAAAGCCGACTGTTACATAGTTTATTTAGGCCCACGCCAACCTTACTGAAATCCTGCGTTGTACTGCGCATGTCCAACCCATTACCATAGTGAGCCATGCGGCAAAACACCTGTGCCTGGAAACGCGCTGGAATGCAAGCATGCGGTGCGGCATTGCTGAAGCAAATCGAAATGAGGCGACAATCTTGTTGCCAGCCGCCAACAGTCGGCTTTCGTCGCATTGTTGCAGTGCCGGGAAGGACCTTCGTCGCATTGCTAAAAAGCGAAAGCAACGAAAAAGCTTTTGACAAGCTGGACCAGAAGGTCAAGTATTTTCATGCACACCGCGTGTTCTGCTAAAAGTAAGTTGCGTATTACGTTTCGGTTGCGGCTGCAGAAAAATCAATGAGTTGGAACACGTCCTTTGAATACTATGCCATTGACAATTCCAATTAAATAACGCGACATAAAATCAATAGGGCCACCGCTTTTCCCCACTCCTGCCGTTCGTTTGTTCCGCAGCAGGCTTTGCGTAACCGAATATCAAACGTTTTGTCCGAGCAGCGCAGCAAAGAAAAAAAGTTAGGGAAACCCGTATCGAGAAGCAAAATTTAGAAGCAATTATGTCGCACCCATATGGCCTCACACCGGATGATATTGCCAGTCAGTATGGCGCCACCATAGTGCCGACACAAGCGACTCCAGCTAATGTTAATCAACGCCTGGGTAGTGCGGCCCCCCACCAAAAGCGGCGGGCAGCGGAAGAAACAACAATCGTACCACGTAAAGATAGTCTAGAGTATTTCATAAAGTTTCCCAAACCAATTGCCGAAGGCGAGTCCGACTTTGTGTTTGTTAACGAGGAAAACAATGTGCCCATTGTAATGCTGTTGGGTTGGGCTGGCTGCCAGGATCGATATTTAATGAAATACTCCAAGATATACGAGGAGCGCGGGTAAGAAATTGTGCCAAATCCACGTCTTTAACGTCTAATTTACAGCCTAATCGCCTGCTTTTAGCTTGATAACGGTGCGGTATACCGCTCCGGTGGACACGCTCTTCTGGAAGCGAAGCGAAATGGTGCCGATCGGCGAAAAGATATTGAAGCTCATTCAGGACATGAACTTCGATGCACATCCGCTCATATTTCATATATTCTCTAATGGTGGCGCCTATTTGTATCAGCATATCAATCTGGCGATGCACAAGCATAACTCACCGCTTCAGGTGCGCGGTGTAATCTTCGATTCAGCTCCGGGTGAGCGTCGCATGCTAGGACTGTACAGGGCTATAACGGCCATATATGGTCGGCAGAAGCGTTGCAACTGCTTGACGGCACTGGCCATTACGATAACGCTGAGTATCATGTGGTTCGTCGAGGTGAGTAATTACAGCCCTATAATTCAAATACAGTAAATGTTATAACCATTTTTTGCAGGAGGCGTTCGCCGCCTTCAAAAGCTTGTTTGTAAAGTCCACGCCACTGCATGCCAGTCCGTTTTACGAGCTAAAAAACGAGGCCAATAAGAATCCGCAATTGTTTCTGTACTCTAAAAGCGATGTGGTTATACCTTACCGAGATGTGGAAAAATTCATTAGAATACGGCGCGACCAAGGCGTTGATGTCTCATCCGTTTGTTTTGACGATGCCGAACATGTTAAGATCTATCAGCATTATCCCAAACAGTATATTCAGTGTGTCTGCAACTTCATTTCCAATTGCATGTCTCTGCCCGCGTACAAGGTTGCAGAAGCAAACCTTTCCCCCGCGCCTGACTTAATGCCTGAGCAACAGCCAGGATCGCACACTTCAAAAAAATACGATTAGGTTTTCGTCTTATAATAGTTAAATGTGATAGTTCTTTCAATTTAACAGCTAACAGCAAGTAAAGCGCACTATTTTAAACGCATAATTTTTGCAAATAATATAACAAATTTAAGCAGCAATGCACGCTGTAACGGCTTTAATGTAGAAACGAATTTAAAAACTAACTAACTAACGTACATGCATATATTTATCTACATATATGTATATATATTTTTGAAATTGCATGCAATTAAAGAAAAACAAAACAAAACTGCGCGCTGTCTCAATAAAGTGTTTTAAAAAATAGAAAAAAGAACCTATAAATATAAAAACAGAAACCGATAAACAAAATTCGCGATGCAACAGTAACTTTTTTAAAATAAATAACTGTCGTTTCATATGAAACCACAACCAGGGCTCCACAGCCGGCTAAGTGCTGTGCCGTGCCACTGCATACAGCTCTGTTTTCGGGGCAGTCGCCATTTTTTATCGTTATCGAAATATCGCTATCGAGTCGCCATTGATTATCGAAAAAAGAAAAGAGGATAAGAGAACGAGAACAAAAAAGCACCCACAGAAGAAAAATCTTCGAACCGTATTATTTAAATATATCTAGCACATAAATTATTATATCTATTAAGCCTAAGGTCTCATCAAATGCCGCAGAAATCAAAATAAAAGAAACTCGAGCACAGCGCCATGATGTGTTAGCCAAAAACGCGAGTAAAAAATCGAAATCTAGCAGTGTGACCACGGCGGAGGGTACCAAAAGAAGAAGAAGAAGCATCAGCAAAGCAGAAAAGAAAAGTTTCATTCGTTTTCGACTGCGTAGCGTTTTCCGTCACCATCAATTGCGAATATAAACGAAAACAAGGTAAATAAACACACAAAGACTGCCAATGGATTGAAAAGGAATACTAAACCTACGGCTGACTTCACTGGCCCACATAAATATCGGGGCCATGGCGCTTTTGGCCACCCCAAACAACAATTGACACATTTCACCGCCACGCCGCCGTTGCTGCCCAAACCACACTGCGCCCATCCTGCGCGTGTTTGTGTGCGTGAGCAAATTTCTGGCGTGGGGGTGATGAGCGAATGAATATACAACTGTTCCCTCATTAATCTGTTGTTTACAGATTTCTGCAATAGCTACTACTATACATCTGGAATACTTCGTGTTGCCGCCAAATAGCTGAAGCTGGAACAACTGAACAGCAAAAACAACCAAGCTCAGTGTGTTGTGTTGCATTAGTGATATAACTAACATCCGCCACAGCTTGCAGCAGCGGACTATGTCTGACTATTTGTGTCAACAGAACCCACAAGAGCACACATAGCCATGGCTGCGACGAGAAAACTGCAAGGTAAGCAAAATCATTCTAAGTACTGCTCACATCTATATATGTACATACCTATATACATATAACATTTATGCATACAATGATAATATGTAAACATTGTATACGCCTTGCAATTGCAATCCACAAAAGTATATTATTTATTTGACATTAGAGAGTGCTGATTGTAATTGCAATATTTATGCTGTAACATGTTTCTTACACAGGGGAAATTGATCGATGTTTAAAAAAGGTAGCTGAAGGCGTTGAAACGTTCGAGGACATTTGGAAAAAGGTACACAATGCTACGAGTACAAACCAGAAGGTAATCAGTTGCCGTTGCCAAATTGCAGAAGTTTAATCTAACTTCGGTTCTCTTAATTTTCCAGCAAAAACATCTGCAGGAGAAGTATGAGGCGGATCTTAAGAAGGAAATTAAAAAACTGCAGCGCTTACGCGATCAGATCAAATCGTGGATTGCTTCAGCAGAGATTAAGGATAAAAGTGCGCTGCTTGAAAATCGAAGATTAATTGAGACGGTAAGTTATATTATTATTATAAAGAATGCAAACGCATTCCAATTGATTGTTGTCGTCGTTATTTTAGCAAATGGAGCGTTTTAAGGTTGTCGAGCGGGAGACAAAAACAAAGGCATATTCCAAGGAGGGTCTGGGCGCGGCACAAAAAATGGATCCTGTGCAACGCATTAAGGACGATGCACGCAATTGGTTAACCAGCTCAATTAGTTCACTGCAAATACAAATAGATCAGTACGAAAGTGAAATCGAGTCGCTTTTGGCGGGCAAAAAGAAACGACTCGATCGCGATAAACAGGAACGAATGGATGATTTGCGTTCCAAGCTAGATCGACATAAGTTCCATATAACTAAGCTGGAAACATTGCTGCGATTATTAGACAATGATGGCGTGGAAGCGGAGCAGGTGCACAAAATTAAGGATGATGTGGAATATTATATTGATTCATCCCAAGAACCCGACTTTGAAGAAAATGAGTTTATCTATGATGATATTATTGGTCTCGATGAGGTGGAACTGAGCGGCACGGGTAAGTATTGTAACTTAAAATTCCCAAAACATATGGTCATTTCTTTTGGTTCGTAGCCACAACGGATAGTAACAACAGCAACGAAACCAGCGGGTCACCTAGCAGTGTCACATCCGGTGGCAGTCCATCACAATCCCCCGTAACGGTGCAGCAGGTCCTCCAGCCCAGCAGCACGCAACCGCCAGCTGTGCATAGTAGTGGCAGCAGCAGCGCAGGCAGTGGCACGCAGTACCAGCAGCAGCAGCAGGCAAATGGCAACAATGTTGGATACGCGAGCGACACCAGCGCGGCATCATCGTCAACAGCGGAGACAGCGAGCACAACAACAGCGACGGCTCCCGATAAACGCAATAAAACCAGCGACAGCAATACAACTAGTAAAGCAAAGGTAAGCACATCTTACAAATGAAACCCTTCGTTAGTAAACTAATTACTGTACTCTCCATCACCCCACAGCAACCTCAGCAGCCCATCAAGCCTATTGCAGTACGTGCAACGGCCAAGACGGCGCCAGCGGGTAGTGATAGTGAGTACCATCAACGCTATTTTAAGTTATTTACTAAAATCCCAACTCTACTACAGCTCAAGTCAATAAGATTGTCAGTTCAACGCCTAGCAAAAACCAACAGCTGCCCACAGCCGCGGCGGTCGTAGCGGCCAGCATGACGCAAAGTAGCAGTAGCACCAGTAGTAGCGGAATCAGCGGTCACAGCAATGTTTTAGCCAGTGGTCATAATCCTGCCGTGCAGCCTCACGCTCCAACGCCTGTAACAAGCACAGTACAAGGGTCTGCGGTTAGCACTGCAGTAGCAACAGCGGCAAGCAATAGCAGCAGCATTCAAGGCCAATCTGTGATTCAAGCGACACCAACAATTGCATTTTCGGCAGTGGCTAAGCATAATACATGTACGTTTTTTTATTTGGACCATGTGTATTTGGATAGTTCTGATGTATACTTTTTCAGCACTACTGGAAAACGGACCTGTGTTGCAGCAGCAAACGCCCGTGCCGACGGTGGCGGCCATTGTTGGCACAGGAGCGCCAGCACATCAGCAACAACAACAGCAACAGCCCCAACAAACCGCGCAATTATCCAATCTTCAAACGAATTCCTCACACTTACAAAATGGTGCGTATGTTGTACATTAGGTGGATCGCGACTCCATCTACAATGTTCATATTTATATTATTGCAAATATTTCCAACTCCGTCCGATCAAAAATTTGGAAAACATGTAATTCAAGACATGTCACAATTTTTGTTGTTTCCATAAAGTACAAACAGTTCATATACCGACAATTATAGTAGACTACAATTTTGAATATTTACGTAAAAATTTCACGTAGACATAACAAAACTGAGTTCATGTCTACGACCGTATACCCCACATATTAATGAAATTAATCTTCCTCCTGGTATGGGTAATCTAGTATATTCTTTACAAATGTTTGTAAATAGCGAACATGTGCTACAACAGCAAATTAAATTTCTTATTGTAGGTCTGCCCGTCACTCTCAGCAACAACAACAATAATGCAGTAGTCGATGCAATATCATTGAAAACCATGGCACAGGAAGCTATCAATCGATCCGTGATCGACACAAATTCCTTAAACCAGCAAGCAGGCAACATAGACACGAGACAGCAGCAGCAACAGACGCAGTCGGTGCTACAACAGCATTTCAATACGGAAACAACTGCCAGCCAACAACAGCAACAAGCGTCGCAGCAGCAGGCAACACAACAGCAGCAACAACAACAAGCGACAGTTGTAGCGGTGGCTGTAGTTACAAATGGTCCCACAACAGGCAGTGCACTCATGAATCTTGCAAATGCTGCCGGTCAGCCAAACAGCAGCAGCGGTAGCACTGGCAGCGGCAACACAAACAAGCCGCATTCCACTCAGCAGCAACAACAACAAATGCCAAAAACTGAGGCGTACATACCACCGCTGTTAGGCGTAACACCATTGGGTCCCACGCCACTGCAAAAGGAACACCAGGTGCAATTCCAAATGATGGAGGCCGCATTTTATCACCTGCCACAGCCAATGGACACAGAGAAGCTGCAAACCTATTTTCATCGATCGCCTGTGCAAACGCCTCCACACTATCCACAGGTGAGTTCTTATTTAGTTCCTATTATGTAAAGGTATAATTAAAGTTAAATATTCTTCTAAAATTCCACAAGGCACAGTTGCCCTTATACGATACCGTTGAATTTTATCAGCGACTCTCCACGGAGACTTTGTTTTTCGTCTTCTATTATATGGAGGGCTCTAAGGCGCAATATCTGGCTGCAAAGGCGTTGAAAAAGCAAAGCTGGCGCTTCCACACCAAGTACATGATGTGGTTTCAGCGCCACGAGGAGCCAAAAATTATCAACGATGATTACGAACAGGTGAGCAAAACGACATTTACCTTCACTTTGCCTTATCGCCATTTATAAGAATGATTTGGATAGGATTAGAAGTCCATTTATATTTGGCGCAAATATGATTTAATTAAAATAATTATTGAATCAAATTTTTGCGATTTAACTTAAAACTGCCCTTCTCTACGCTTCACATAACAAGTTCCTAAGCAAATCCGTTTGACGTGTCAATAGGTGATTTAATCATATTAATTATAAGTACGAGTTTGCACGTATTAATTAAAGACACCGCCGTCCTCCGCATTTCTCATTCGAAGCACTTAACAGGGGACCTTTTAAAAACTTGGATGAATATAATTTAGAAAAATCTAGTGAGCCATAAGAATATAACAACATTTCCCAGGAACTATCGGACGAACATGAATGGAATTTGATACCTATCATTCATTTGGAAAAAGCGGGCGAGTAAATAGAGTTCTTAACGATTGCTAAAATGCGATAAACCGAAGACGTATTAACGAACGAGTTCAGTATAAGGCATTACATTCATTATTTAAAAACCTACTTATACAAAAAATCTTCAAAATAGCTTTTAAAAATTAAAAATGATCAACCTTGAAATAAAATATTTCGAATTGAAAATAATCTGGCAACTATAATATGTAACTACCAACAAATATAAATCTTATAAGAAGCACTTAAATGAAGCCGTTGGAGGTGCCAATAACTGATTAATTCATTTTAATTATAAATACGAAATTTTACAATTAAATTTAAAACTGCCCTCCTCTGCGCTTCTCATAAGAAGTACTTAAGCGAGGCCGTTTGGGTGGTAGGTGATTAATTTACTTTAATTATAATTTCATTATAAACACCTTCCTCCTGTGCGCTTCTCATTTGAAGCACTTAACCCGAATGCATATAATGTGGGAAAAAAAGTGAGCAGTACCAACATTTTTCATTTTCAGGGTACGTACATCTATTTTGATTATGAGAAATGGAGCCAGCGCAAAAAGGAGGGCTTTACCTTTGAATACAAGTACTTAGAAGACAAAGAGCTGAATTAAATGCTGCATCCATCACAGCGCTGCTGTCAAGAGGAATACAATAAAAAGGAGAATCAGTACCACACAGAAAACCACAAATGAGATAATATAAAACAAGCGAAAAGCAACCAAGCCGTAAGCTTAAGTGAAAAGGAAAATGAAGTATGATACTTGTTCAGAATTGCATGTAAACATATTTTTTTTTATGAATGTTTTATTGATTATTATTACTTTTTTTAAAAAGATTTTCTTTCTTGAAAAGCAAAGCAAAAACCTATTTATTAAGTAAAAACAAGTTATGAAAAAAAGAATACTAAAAGATCCGTTAAATATGAGCGTTAAATTTGAGCAACAATTTCAATTTTTTTTGAACACAGTCCACACGACCTATCACCGTCAGAATATGTCTTTCCATTTGCACGGCATTCACGCAACTCCCCCCACCCCCTCACCTATCCAGGCCACACCCTGCCAAACGCATATTGTATAAAAAGCGCGTACATATTGCAGTAAATCACAGAGAACAGTTCATACTTTAATTAAGCAAATCCGAGGGCGCACCGATTTTTCAAATTCGGTTTCGTTTGATTATAAAAAACAAAAAACAAACAAATTTATCTAAACTAATGATACAAATATGTTTAAACGTAATTTCAGCTGATCTTAATAAATTTAATTTTGATGTAATTAATACGATTACTAAGATCATGATTAAGTTGAGTATGATGATTGCTGCTGAAAAGCAAACAAAAACAAAAACCAACAAATTAATGCGTAAAAACAGACTCCTTTTTTAAACATAAGCGAATAAAGTATGAGTATATAGTTGAAAATTGTAAGGTGTTTTTGTATATTATTTTCGTTTTGTGTTATATTACATTTTTATTTAACTGCCTGATTTACAATTTCATTTCATTTCGCCTCAGTTCGTTCCCAGGATTTGCCGCATTAGTTTTTAAAAGTTGAGCAAACAGCAAATTATTTAATGTTAATCATAGTAAATTGATAAAGAAAATGAGAAACAAAAAATGAACAAAATATTTAATATAAACAAATGCATTTTAGAATGTTTTTGCGTAAATATAGCATTTTTGCTACAGAAAACAAAACGAACATTTAACAATTTTACAAAAATAGTTTTAACAAAGTGCATGCGGTAAAGATGAAACATTTAATTCTTGAAAAATGCATAAAAAATATACATACATATAATTACACGTGGCTCTTGACAATTTTGATTTTTAATTATACAGTTTGGGTTAACGTTGAATTTCAGATGATTGCTCTACAAACTGCCGACTACAAACTAGTTTCAAAATTCTTGGACGCAGGCACAAACACACATACACTCATCTTCTCTCACATACATGATTCTAACTTAAGCACTCATAAGAAACTATAACTTTTAAATGAGAATTACAACTAAGTAGCGTTTTCTGCAGTGTCCTCGCCCCAAACAACATCATCGTCATCCATGCCCCAGCCTTGATCTGCCTCTGCATCCAAATCTAAACCGTTTGTGGCAGTCGTATCGGCTGCAAAGCGATTGACATTAATTTGTACAATCTCCTGTTCGCTGGACTGTGACTTTGCCTCAATGACTGGTTCCATGTCCTTGAAAAAATCAAACTCCGTTGTATCCTGATTGCCCGTTGCTGTCTTGGGCTGCACCTGTATGTCCAGCGCGCTTAAATCATCAATAACCTTCTTCACCGGCACTTTGGACGTATGTGAATTAGCTGTGGACATCGTGGAGCAAGCTGTGCGATAGGAATCGGTAAGAGATTGCTGTGTTGTTTGTGTGGCATGCGAAGAGGCGCTACTATTGGTTTCTAGATTACTTAGTGCCATCTCTTCAGCATTGTGGATGGCAGTGGGGGCGTCATCGGTGTCGTTATCGTCCAAACGCTTAACATGAAGGCGCTGCAACTCGTCATTTGTATCCCAATCAGACCAAGCGTCATCATCCACCAGCGTTTGTTCGTGGGTAACGCTGCTGCTGTGGGTATGACTGCTGATACTGCTATCTGTGCTATTCTCAAGAGGTCTACTCGAGAGAGCGTCAGTAATGTTGCCTATGCTTTTGTCATCCTCACCCCCATCCGGACTAAGACGCAATTGCATGGACAATGGAGTGGCGTTTTCAGCTGGCAATGGGCTGCCGGACACCATATACTCATCTCCATCGCCTGCGCTGCCGTTCATTACGGGTGTAATGGAACGCGGCTCCACCCAGTCGGCATTACTCTCTGTGGATACTGCCGCATGGGGACGGCCATCCGAAAAGAAACGACTACGTTTCCCGCCCAGTACAGTGGCAGCTCCGAGAATGGGCACTAGGTCGGCTAGCGAGTGCAGCGTCTTCGACACCAGTACATCGTTCGTGTCGTTCATACCCATCAGTAAATGTGGCAGTATTTCTCTCTGTAGTTGCTCGTCACTCAGCAACCTTACGTATTCCATAAAGTATTCCAGAAGGATTAGACGTATTTGGGCATCGCGCAGGCGAAACATTTTCAGAATGTGCGGTAGCACATATTGCACATAGGTCTGTTGCGAAAAAAGGGCGGCCGTTCCGTTTTCCGTTTTTGTACTGAGCACGTAGGTTGTGACGCAATTCTGAGCAGTTGGATCAAGCAGAACCATGCGGGAAAGCAAATCACTTGCAAGCTGAGATGCAACCACTTGCTCGTCAAAGCAGCGCAGACGATCGATGAGGGTGGTGAAGAACTGCTGACGTTCCTGAACAGACTTAAGCGGCAGCTCAAAGAGAAAGGAATGTATGAGTACGAATTCATGGTTGAAATATGGATGTAGCAGCACCGCCGACAGTTTGGGCCGTAGTTCCGTGTTGCTGTGTTTTAAGTGTGTGCTACAGTAGGCGCGAAATTCCTGCACATGTGGTGTGGTGGGTGTGTTCGCATCTCCACCGCCTTCGTCCTCATTACGCTTGCTGCATTTCTCAAGTATTTGCTCACAGAGAGTGGCAAATGCAAATTGCTCAAAAGCCTCCAACTGTTCCTTATTTCTCTCATCGATGGCCGGCTGATAGCGAAAGGGTTGTGCAAAATCCAGCAGTTGTTCGTTCACCTCTTTTGCCTTCCAAACGTACTCGAAGCCGCCCAAGCGCCAGCTGCCGTTGTCTGTGACATACACCGATTGGTTACAAATGTTCAGATGACGCGCCATCGCCTTCTCAATCAGAAAGATAAGACTGCAGAGTATTGTACGCAACCCCAGGCAAATTTGTATGTCACTCTGCTGTGCGAGCACATTGGAGAGGGGTCGTACTCGTTCCGTGGCAAGATGTTTCTGGCCCGACTGCACCCATGTTGCAACGTATTTGAGTATGTATGGATGCCGATAGATCATGAGGTTCTGCAACAAATTAAAAATATATAAAAGTATAATTTAAGGCTATGAATGTTACATTTGGGAATAGCTTTTTCTAACAACACCAATAATTTGGCTTACATTCCGGAAAATACTTGGCTATTGTAAAAGACTCTTTTATCAGAGCGTTATAGTGACATTCTATATTATATAGTGATCCGATGCTCCCCATACTCACTCTTATTGCTCGATCTATTGGTCCTCCTTGTTTCCATAATTGACCCTTTATTTCACTAGGCCCGGGCTCGCCTTGAAAAATGGAAAGCAGCTGCCGGCCGTCTTCGTTGCTTGTTGTGGGGGACTCTGCATCATGTAGTGCCCAGAAATCATTCACTTCGACAGCATTTTTCTCAATTATTAAGCCTTTTAATTTACTACCTTCATTGCCCATTGTACTAATAACCAAATCTGAATGAAAAAGAGCAATTCAGAGTAAATGAAAGTGCCATTCATTGTGTTAAGGTGAATTCTTCAGCGACACTGAGAATGGTAGAGTGGATAGAAGCAGAAAGAGAAGAGAAAAATATTGTTTTGTTTGGACGGGAAATTAAGTAAAATTAAAAATAATTTGAAAATAACCCGAAAATGGACTTGTACGATGACATAGACACAAAACCACGCACAAGCCAAATTGATGGTTGGTCTTCGGGCATAAAAATGCTGCAAACGCAACTGGCAGTCAAGACCAAGGCAAAGGAACAGATTAAGAAACCGGTGATATTTGGTTACTGATCTCGCGAAGGTTCAATAATAATACTAGTATTTTATTTTGCATAGCTGATGACGCCTGTGGTTAACTTGCGTGCCAAACGCAACATGGATACAGAGGCAAACCCCTATCTGCCAACGCCCGTTGTAATGGCTACTGCTACCAAACCCATTATTACAGGCAAAGCTTTGCCATTAGTTGTGCTTGAAAATGCGAAAAAGGATGACTGGGACTTTGTCGATGAGTATGATCCACAGTGGCCCAATGAGTACGAGAAGTTAAAGGAGAAGTCGAAGAGCGTTGAGAAAAGTCGCACAACTAGCAGTGGTAGTGGTGGAAACCGGGAGGAGCGAGATCGCAAACGAAACCGCAGCGGACGCAATACGCATAATCATGATAATTCGCCACCCATGAAACTAAGTGGTTTTGGGCAGCGACAGAATGACGAGGACAAATACAGTCCCCCACCTCCGGGATCTGTTGCAAATAAGGGTGGGGGCGCAGCAATTGCACCGCCCCCCTCATTACAAGAGATATCCATAGACAATGGTGATGGTTCATCGAATGTAACTATCCCGTATTCGGCCAGCTCAGTTGCAGCAAAAATCATGGCCAAATATGGCTTTAAAGATGGCCAGGGTTTGGGTAAATCTGAGCAAGGTATGTCGGTAGCATTACAAGTAGAAAAAACCTCAAAGCGAGGAGGTCGCATAATACATGAAAAGGACGCGTTTCTACCGCCGCCTGTCGCACCATCTTCACCGCCATTGGCGTTCTCAAATACACCAGCAGTTTCAAGTCCAGTTCACTCAGCTTCTGTTATGCCACCACCGCCACTGCCAGCTGCAGTCAACGAATCTGAGCCCACTATAACTGAGATAATGAAGGATCCCAGCAAAGTTGTACTGTTGCGTAACATGGTTGGTCCTGGAGACGTCGACGAAGAATTGGAGCCTGAGGTGAAGGATGAATGCAATCAAAAGTACGGTGAAGTGAACAGCGTCATAATACACGAAGCCTTCGGAACGGCGCCCGAGGATGCCGTCAAAATCTTTGTCGAATTCAAGCGTATTGAGAGCGCCATAAAAGGTATGCTTTGTTATGTACATTGAGTAATTTTGTAATTGAAATCATTATTGTTTCCTAGCTGTTGTGGACTTGAACGGGAGGTTTTTCGGTGGACGCCAAGTGCGAGCTGGTTTTTATAATTTTGATAAATTTAAGCGTTTGCAATTAAACTAAATACAAGCCTACAACGTTACTTTTGGTTTTATTTTTGTCAACAAACAAGGGAACAGCTGAGTGAGTTTTTAATTCACCGCCAATGTGGGTAGGTGGCGCTGGTGTACGGCAACTCTGAAATAAAGGGCTTATATACACTATTAATCGACAATTTAGGAATATTTCATTTGATTAAAATAAGCTTCTTTCATAATTTATACGTTTTCAATATTTATAAATATGTACATATACCGGATAAAATAACTCGATACCATATTTTCAACACATATCAGCCGTTTTGTTTTACGTCACCGTTTCGTACTGTTTTTCATAGCGTACAATATCGAGTCGTAACGTGTCTAGTACGCCAAACGAATGCAAAGACAATTAATCGAAGAAATATTGAGACAAGAAGCATTCAACGAAAAATATATTATCATACCATTCATTCAGCTGCGTTGTAAAACAGATGAAAGCATAAAACCAAGGTAAGTGCACATCGCAGAGTGTCTCGTGTTTACATTGCCAGTTGCGTTGTCGTGGGGTGCGAAAAAGTTCGTAGAGGAACAGTTAACAAACAAATAAAACGGTAAAAATTATGTGCAATGTTGACGCGACAGCCCATGCCCATTATAATTAAATTCAATTAGGCAAAGTTGAACAAAGTTAATTAATGGATCAAACGTGAAACCACTGCAAACACAAGTACATACACATTTACATTGTACATAAAAATAGTGAGCGTCGCCTTTACAACGAATCGTACTCCTCAGTTAACGGCAGCAACCTCAGCCCTCGTCATCACAATCCGCCCCGCTCCCACCGTCTTCTTTCTACATTTAAAGTATGTAAAAGTGGAACTCGTGCGAATGACCGAAATTATTTTCTGCATAAGTAGAGATTTATAAACAGAAAAACATACTTACATATGTATGTATGTACATACGCATATATTTGTAGTTGCAGTGGATGAAACAGACGGAACACTGTTGATCATATTTGTGTGTGCTGGGCGCGCTCCATGCCAATCAACAAAACTTTTATATTATTCACACACATACACGTATGCATTTGTGAGACACTCCCACTGCCGCACACCCAGCGCAGTGCACCGAATGCAACAACATCAACGACAACATCAGAAGTGTCGGCAACAACAGCAACTATCAGTGGCGGTGGCAGCCAAGTAGCTAAGCTTTTGCATTGCGTATTTACATATCGTATGTTTGTATAAATTAAAAATACACACATATGTGCATGGGCAAGGTAAGGGGCATGGACAACCAGCAAAGGGTTGTGTTGTTGTTTTCCCGCACAATTGCACGCACTTGTAAACTAATATGGAGTGACTACTGCACTGTTACCCAATACCAATAGCATACATAGACATGTATGTGAATTTAAATGTATTTTCTATCAACTCATAAAAGTAAATGTGGAGCAGTAGACACCCATGTAGAATACCTTCCGAATGCTTTCCTGCTGGCGTGTATTTCTATCATACATACAAGTATACATAAATACACGCACACTCTCCCACAAACAAACATCCATATAAACTGCCCGTTCAATTATTTCTGAAAAAAATCTATTTTTATCCAATAACATTATTTTGCTTGCACTGATGTTTTGTTGTACATACAATTGTTTCTTGTTTATTTACGGCAATTTCTTCTGCCGCAGCGGCAGATCCAGATCCAGTAGTCAACTGCTATTCAACATTCTAAATATTTCACAGTGCATTATTTATTCAAAAACTTATTCCGCAAACGCTTTTAATGAACAAACTTCAATAGCCGAAATACCGAAAATTAATTGCATCTGGTACGCTTTGAAAATTCAGTGCCGAATGTCAAAAGTCTATATTTCGTCGTTTTGTTTAGTCACAAAAAAAAGTAACTGAAACTCAGCTTTGATTTATTCTCTAATTTCACTTTTCTGTCCTGTCGTTACATTTGCGCGTGCAGTAATGGTCTTGGTGAGCAACGAATGGCAGAATAACAAGGATGACGAGCACAAGTCCACGACGGATGTGAACAGCGTGGGCACAACACCGGCGCTTCTGGATACCACGCTGACCGCTCACGCTATACGAGGCGCCTTGCAATCAAGCGCCGGTCAGGTGTTGAATACGGCGGTAAATAGTCCGAGCAATCGTAACAATCAAAACGAGGTAACTGCAGCAGTAGCAGCAACAACGACAACGACAGGCGGTCAATCAGCAACAGTCGCAACTTCTGAAGGCAAACGCCATCGCACTGGCCACGGCAAGAGTAGCAAGAATAAACACATGATGGATGTTAAAAAATCTGACGATGATACAATGGATAAAACGGCGCGGGAGAAGCACGAGAGCGAGACCCGCGAGCAGACTGATAACATCGAAGGCTTAGAAATGAACAGCAACTCAACGCCGATACCATCCTCCAATTTAGAGGCAGAAAATAATAACATGGAAGAATATAATGAGCAGAACAATTCGCAGAGTGAAATAACACCGCCGTGCGATTCCAATACAAATACATTGCAAAGTCTGGGGACGCGTCAGCAGCAATTACAACAAATCGCACAGCAGGCACTGCCAATTGCGCTTAATTCCGTGATAAACTCAAATAATGCTACGACTATAGCAACAAGTGCGACTCCAGCAACGCCGGCAAGCAATCTGTTCAGTTCACTAGGCCTGACTGGACTGAACAATGGTGCCTTACAACAACAGCAACAACATCAACAACAACAGCAGCAACAACAACAGCAGCAGCAACTGCAGCTACAGGAAGTGATAAATGCTAGCAATTGCAGCACGCTGCTCGTCTCACAAACGTCGCCTGGGGAAATGGACAACGGCATTGACATTGACACAAACGGCGAGGCGAAGATCGTGTTGCATTGCGAGCCCAAGTCGCATAAGTTCGAGACGCGCACCATTGTCCTGATGCCTAATCAGGAGTGCAAGGTGGGCCGACTGATAGCCAAGAGCAAGGCGAGCGAGGGCAATGCCATATTTGATTGCAAGGTGCTATCGCGCAATCATGCCATGCTCTGGTACACTCCGGACGGTCATTTCTGGGTGAAGGACACCAAGTCCTCCAATGGAACTTTCATCAATGACAACAAGTTGGGCAACGACCCGGCCGAACTGCACTTTGGGGATACTGTGAAATTTGGCGTGGAGGTCATAGAGAATTCGCGCCAGGAGGTACATGGCTGTATCATTGCGCGCGTTACTCTTTTCTTGCCTGATGGTCGTGAGGCTATTTCAATAGATCAGGAGCAAGTGCAGCTTGCTGGACCTAATCGCATATCTTTTGATGAGATACAGCGACTTAATGCGTTCATGCAGGAGGCGGCTCAGCGCGAGAAAATGCTTAAAGCCAAACTGAGCAGCCTGCAGAATGTCCTTGACTCGACACGCAAGAATTCTGCCATGTGTTGGCAGTCAATGATCACTGAAGATCAGCTGCTGCACAAAATCAATCTGCTGGAGAAAAAGCTGCAGATGATGGAGAAGAATGTGCCCGAGAATGCCCTGCGAAATGAGGTCAGTAGTGGAACAGCCTTCTCTTAAGATCCTATACATACATACATATGCATACTTTATCTTTATACATTTGATATTTAAATTCACACTACTCATTAATTAATTAATTTCTGTTTCTGGTTTCAATATTAGTTTTAAAGATGTTAGTGGTAATTCCTCAATGACTGCTGATATTTTTATATGAACATAAATAATAACTGTCGTATAGAAACTTTAAAAATTATTATTATTATTCCATAAGCATCATTCTGGAAATCCAATCGAATTATGTAAATAACATTTTGGATATTGAACGTTTTGAAAAGATTGAAGGTATTGACCGTTATATAACAAGATAACGTAGGTCTATAATAGAAATAAGTGGTTCAGATCTAGCAGGGAAACAATAACTTATAAATGATATCTTTTTAAGTGTAATCTTGCAAACATCGTAGCTCTCCTAATTTTTCTTTAACTTTTGGATGTTTTGCTTGGCTTTCAAGATTGTTAAGATGCTTGAGGACAAAACGTCGTATCAACTTACTGCCAAAGAAGCCCTGCGCAAGGTCTATCAGGAGCGTTGCGATGCCATGCAAATGCTGTCCAAGATGGAGCTGGCCTATGCCTCGTCGGAAAATGAGTGCACCATACTGCGCGCGCAAATTTTGAATTCTAAGCAGACGCTAAACGATTTCAATACGCGCCTCGAGCAGCTGCAACTGGAGTATATGGAGTACAAGCAAGAGTCGTTGCGTCAGCAACAAGAGGCTAAAGCCCAGGAGGAATTGCATTTGCAGCAGTTAAAGGAGCAGCTCGAAGCAAATGAACGCGAGGCCGAGGAGCTGCGTGTACAGGTCAGCATATTACAGCGTACCGTGAGCGAGCACGACAGGGAACATATATTGCAGGAGCAACAGGCGCTGAAGCGACTCGATGATGCTATTGCTGATGTAGGGGTCGATAATGACGACGATGACGACGATGATGATGAGGGAGACGACGACAATGATGATGATAACAACGACCACGACAATATTAACGAGGGCGCTGAAGTCGCAGCTGCCATGCTAGAGCTTGCACTGAGCCAAGAGAAACGGGAAGGGCAAGCAGAGCTGGATCAGAACCCTGAAAGCAACGGCGAGCCGTTGACACCACGAAAGAGTGTGAAAAAGAAGAAGGTACGTACGCTTCGAATTACATAAAAACTGTTTCACAATGCTATCGATGTTTTCAGAGTAAGAAAGCGAAACAGGATGGATTCGATTTGAAGCATAAAGTTGTACGCAAGTCAACAGTCATGAAATGGTTAAAGGACTCTGACCTCAACAAAGGCGAGGGTGGCCACGACATACTAAAAGCCATTTTCAACAATGCCGATTCCGGCGGCGAGGAAAACGAACCGCTGCTTAGTCCGGGTGAGCTTAGTGCTGGCACAAGTTCACCAATTGCCGGCAACAACAACAGCAATCCCGTCGACAGCGATGGTGATGTGGCCATAACAGATATAACGGCCAGCAGTGAATTTGTGCACAATTCGCCTAAGCACGGTAGATTAAATGGTAGTTGTATTGACGAAAAGGAGGAACCTCTGGAGCAGATGCAGAATCAGAAGCCGGAGGAAACACAGGAGGCACTTGCGCATAATTCCGAGGAAGTGCTTTTAAGTTCAGTTGATTTGCTGCCGGAACAGACACTAGAGATGCTCGAAGCTGAATGCGAATTCTATAAGCAGAAAACTTCCACGCTAACTAGCGATATTACTACATTGCAGGAACAAATGGATGATCTTAAGCAACAGTTACAAAAGCAGGGTGAGACGGATAAGCCCGACCGCAGCAGCCTGAGTGTGGAGAGCGGCTATGAGAACATTGCCAATCAGGCTCAAAACTTTGAGCAGGAAATAGCCGAGGACTTGGCCTCCATGAACAATGCGCAGGTGGAGCGCGAAGAAGAACTGATTGTCTACAAAGAGCGTTTGGAGCAGTCCGAAAGCAGCAATCTGCAGCTGCGTAACGAAATCTCACAGCTTCGCTTGAAGCAGCAGCAACAGCCATTACCCCATAATTATCAGTTAGTATGCCGCGCTTTGCCCTTCGGCTGCATGGCACTGGCGGCTATCGTGTATTTTCTTTTAAATCGCTTGTAACCGTACCTAAAATGCTAAGACATTAAGCAATGGAAGGATAAAGTGAAAGTGGTATCTGCCGTCTTACACAGAAGTTACATATATGAATAGTGTTGATTGAGCTTTATTCAATTTCTTTTGCTTTGTTTCCAATTTCTTTCGAGCGCAAAATTATTAGTCGTAAATTTGAATTAAAAAACATATTTAAATGAAAAAATAATAATAATAAACAAACTCCGTTTAATTTAAATAAATATGATAAAGTCGACCTTATGTTTATAAATATAATACATATGTATAAATTTATGTTTGAATTTGAAAACCACGTATGGCTTCATGTGTAAGAACTGTACAAAGTAAAAGGAAGGAGTGCGGGATTACCGCAAAATAAGTTAGCATTAAGTTGCAATTATGTTGATTTATGTATGTATTTATAATTAGTTGATTCTTTATTTCTGCCCTGCATACCCGGACCTGCTTATATTTTTGTTAACATTAAAAATGAACGAAGATTCATAATTTGTAAGCAATATAAATTAAAGCCACCATAAATAAAACCGACAAATATGAGAAAATTCATCTTTTTTAGTTACCTTCCCCTATTTACTGACTGACCCTCGGAGTAGCTTAAAATCGCGCTAAGCATAAGTCGACTGGTGACAGTTTGTGCAATTGGGTAGCACTACGATTGATATCGAAATATCGCTAGCAACAGTGCATCATACACATCCCTAATTCAGTTTGTGGTCGGTGTTTATGTGGAATGGTTGCTATTGCGGTAGTTTTTCCCATACATTTTTGGCATTTTGTAATTGTACTAAATTAAATTAAGTTAATTATACCTACGGATCAGCCCATAGGGAGCTAGGTGTGCACAATTTACTAAATAAGCAACAATTGCTGCCGATTGCAGATTTGTAGTTTTGTTGCAGAAAAAAATATTTTACAGCCCTTTTCCTTTGAAGTGGGCGTGACGTTTCCGCGTAACGCAAGCAAAGTAAAAAGAGTAAAAGGCAAAAGAAAAAATTAAGTGAAATACAAATGGTGCAAGCGAACAAATACAAGTTCGGTTTGTAAAGCTTGCGCTTTTTCGTCTTTGTTTCGTCTACATAATGTACATAATTGCACAGTTGTAAAGAACGCTGCTGCGCCCAATTCGTCGTTCCGCGTGCCCAATAACAACAAAAGTTAACCCATTTATGTTGTATATTTTCATATTTGACATACCCTATTGTAATAAGAATGAGAAAATTCTATATAATGTGTGGTGTTACTGATTTATTGTGTTTATTTTTATGTTATGTCTTCAGCAATTTGTGTTTTCTTTCCAAGGCGAACAACAAAAATTTCAAATTGTATTCTCATGTAAAGTTTTAAGAAAAATCGGCAACACGGCCACACAGCTACAAAAACAACGATAAGCCGCATACAGCTGTCTACATCTGCCCGCAATAGTGGCGAAGAAGAAGAAATACAGAGAAACACAAAAGCCAAACAACGACGTTTAAAACTGCCTTGCTGGCTTAGCGGATTTCCTAACTTACGTTCAAAAGGTGAGTTCCATAAAAGCACGTAAATCTTGTCGCACACACACTTGACATTGCCCCACAATGTTGCCAACAATAAGAAAACATATACATATGTACATAGCCATAAACAGATAAAGCAATTTTATACTCTGTACTTGTAAGGTACAAGAGTATATTAAGTTTGTGCTAAGTGAAAAAATGTTAGATGCAGAAGGAGGCGTGTTAGACCCCATAAGGTATACATATGTATATTCTTTATTATCATGTCAAGACGATTCGATTTAGCCCTGCCTGTCTGTCAGTATCTAGATCTCCGACTCTATAAAACCTAGAGACACGCAGTATTTCAATATGTTTCTCCTTATTCCACTCTCCCGCTTTTAGTGATTTTCCATACCTCTTGTAATTTTTGGGGTTTTTTTTTTGGATTAAATTACTTCTTGATAGTGCTTATCACCTTATCAAGTTCCATCCATTAACCAATTTCAAAGGAAGTTAAACCCATAAATGAAAAATCTATCCAAGCTCTACCGGCAGCTGTTGTTGCTGCTGCTTTGGCTTTTTAAATAAAAATTTTGATTTTTTTTTTGTTATTTCTTTGAAGTTTATAAAAATATTCTAAACATAGGTACAGAGTATTACAAAGTCGTTTTTCCACTTGTTTTCTCCTTAAGCGTTCTCTGATAAACGCAGCCCAGAAGACCGTGCTAAAATGTTGGCTTATACTGTTAGAATGGTGGTGTATATACATACATACACTTGTAAATATGTACGCATGCCGAATGATAGTCACATATCTGTAAGCACATACATAGATATGTGTTAATTAGCATATCGCCTGCAGGAAATTGTGATAACCCGCAATGAATTGGTAATGTTGCTGCCAACCACTATACACGATCACTGGCCGCTTCATTTGGTTCGTTTCTCAGCCACTACTTCCATTTATACGTTTGCCGAATTAACTGACTTCATATTGCCTTGAATAAAAATCGCAACTGTGACAAATATAAATTAATTTATTAAAGCTATCTTTGCAGCATGTACGTATGTCTGCGTGTATGTACATACATACACTCATATGGTTGTGTGAACGAGTATTCCATATATGTATATTTTGCCACTTATCGCAAGTAAACATTCGACGCCTTCACGCGCTTTTCTTTTAGCCATATTTATTCTGATATCTGTTGTGTCTCTCTATGTTTCGCTTGTTCGTTCGCCTCGCGCCTATCTTCTAATTACAAATTTAACTCCGTTTCGTTGTGCTGCTAAAAAGTTTCTATTTCTTGTCTCTGGAGAGTTGGCCAACCGCTGGTGAATATGGTGATTCATTATGGCTTCCTTGCTTATCGGCATTTCTGTCTTTCGCTGTGTTCGTGCGAAATAAAAGCTCAACTCATGTGCTGATGGACTTTAACTTGATCAGAATGGAGGTCAACGAAAATCTTTTCTATCACTGGTCACCTTAGAAACTTGCTGCCGGCTGAATGGGCCAATAAACTTTTCATTATATACTTTCACTTAATTCAGAAAATTGTTAGCAGCGAGATAAATGGCACAAATATAGTATACGCCAATTGGCAATCAACATGCCACGCAACCATCTCAATCGAAAGCACTCAATAAAATCTGGCCAAGTGAGTTTATAAACACACAATGCTGAGGTACACAGAAGTAAATATGCAGAAAGCAAAACAAAAAACAAAAATGTTGCCAAAAACTGAATTTGAAATAAACGCCCATGCTCTTTCTGCTGTGACGTCAGGCCGCTGACTCACACTAACACTACACAACACAGACGATCAGGAACATGTTGCTGCAACATGTGTCAACTGATCACTGAATGTGGCCAGCTACAAAGCAAACTTGTTGCTCATACATATGTACATACATAAGTGTATATTTGGCTTCAATTGGCACAATTGACAATAAATTATACTTGGAAAATGGCAATGTTTATTTGTAGAAACAGCTGATACTGACTGACAGTGACGGCGATGAGTATGACTATGGCAGGGTAGACATGCAAAAGATCGAGTTACGATTACGTGTAAAAAGAGTCGTGCAAATGGTTATGCGCGTGTGTGGGAGCCTCTTTAAAATCATTAAAAAAAATGAACTACAGTGACGATTCTGCTAGAGGACAAAATTAATTAAATTAAATTAAATTAATTAATACTTAAATAAATGGTTGCATAGTTCTGAACAGATTAACAGAAATCTAAGGTTGTCATTAACAATTTTGTGAATATGTTTCATTATATTTCAAAATCTGATTAGTTAAAACTATATTATTCGTAGCAACTATTCGATCCCTTTTTTTAATAGCATACTGTAAGTAATTTTAAAATATTAAAATGGGGGGCCTATATACATTTTAAATCAGAACTATTGCAATATTCCTGCATCGCGAGTACATCGAATTGAATTCTTAAATGGGAACTTAATCAATAAAAGAGGTATAGTACTTATAAACTAATCCTGGGTATCGCTTTTCTTAACAAATGTTTTGAAAATGAAGTCGTCTGTGAAGGGCATTGCAACTTAAGTCTTGGGATTAAGTAATGCCACTGACCAGCCGTTCAATGCCCTTTTACTCTTTAAACCCCATTTGGTATTGTAATCTGGCAAAACGCTTAGCTTGGCGGTACTTGAGAAATGCACTAAACAGAATACTCGCTACAAGAGGAATACAACAACGAACAGCAAGTAAAAGAACAAACACTGAGAAAGAGTGTGAGTTTGCATTGATTCTTTTGACGGCAAATGGTGGGCCATTGTGACGCTCCCTTTTAGGTTTCACATACACAAAGACACATACGAATACACATGCATATGTACTTATGTATTAAAACAAAAAGAAACGCCGAAAGCACCGATTCAAATTTCAATGAACTCTACTCTGCGAATACATGAACGCGATTTGTGTGTGTTCTGGAGTACAGTGGTAGCTCAATAATGAATACCAGTTAGCTTTCATTGTGTGAGATAACACCTTGATTGAGTAAATTGTTTTATTTGCTGATTTAAGTACAAATAAAAAGTGAAAATGGTTGGCTACCTGAATATTTACGTAGCTGTCGGCGCATATTTGATTTAGCAATTTCATTTAGTTTCTACACATATTTTATATGCATTTTCATTAAGTATAGAAAGTTTTTTGTTTTAATTTTTTTTTGCCGCAGCCAAGAAGAAAGTGCGCAGAATGTAGCCGTGCATGTTAATTAGGTGAGCCACTGGGTGTATTGCCTGCCCCTTCAAGCTCAGCATACACATATACACATGCACATACATATACATGTTTAATAAAAAATGTTTATTATCTCCAGTCGCCCTCCAGCCAAGCCCATCTTAGTAGCCTTTGTTTGTTATTTTCTGTTGCTGATAAAAACAAAACGAACGTCGAAAGCAGGCAAATTTGAAAATGCACATACAAAAAACATATATACATATGTAGATAGTATACATATGTATACAACATGTTTGGACATATGTATGCAAACATGGATTTTCTATAAGATCTGTCTAAAACCTCTGACAGGGATTTGTTAGCCACCTTTGTTTACCAAATGACTTCCACCGTATGCGTACGTTGAAATGAGCCACCAAACCCATTATTCATATAATTTCTGTCTTATTTTCTTATTTTTGTATTTTCTGGAACTACTATTGAAGTTGGAATCAGGGTGTTGCCAGCCGTGGTTACTTTTTAGAGAGTTTTGTTTTTGAGTTTTAGCGTCGCAGTTCTCGCTCAGGGAGGAGCGATTACCATCTGAGCTGCAGGGAAGTATCTCGTACTCAACCGCTCACTGACTCTTTTTTGATACTATTATTAAACTACAGACTATCTAAAGCTTATCGCTCAATGCTAAAATCAATAATTGATCAACTTGTACTTCAACTAGGTGCATGTCAGTATTTAATCGAAAAAAGTCACAGCGAAATGAGAAACGGAGCATAGTTTGGCTAGCTAGCAAACAATTATGTGTTATTGTTGCCATTTAGTTTTTTTATATGGCATTCAATGACCTTGGGGTTGGCGCGTGGCGCCTGCTAATGAATTAGACCGGAAATCAAATGTCGGAGGACTCTCTAGTTGCGGCAATCGATTTTTATTTGTTTAATAGGTCAACTAAGTAATCAGCACATAGCTTTGTTGCACGACACTTTTATGCATGGTAAATAGGCATTTGTTTAAGGGGTTGGACCTATATTTACATATTTCTGTATGACGCACACAATTTGTTCACGAAAACTCCCCTAAAAGTAAAAGAACTGCTGCTAATTAAACATTTCAAGGTACTTTACTAAACTGAGTTAGATGAGCCGGTTTATTGTTTACTATTTTACTTTGGTCCAGGCGATTCATTAAGTATTATTCTGTTTATATTTCTAAAATGCTATCACGTTCGAGTAAACCAGGGAACAGGTTTTCATAAAAGTTCACTATTGCGTAATTTTTTATACTCTGTACATGAAATGTAGAAGGTTTGTGGGCAGAAGGAGGCGTGGCAGACCCTACAAAGTATATATACTATATCTAATAGACTTTATGAGATTGTTTTATTGTTTTGATTTAAGAAGTAGGAACTTAGTCATCTCAAGCCAATGTCTTGCAAACGCGGTAAGAAAAGCACCAACAACAACAGAAAGTTCAAGGACATTATGCATCACGTTGCAAGTTGCTCAAATGGGCGGTTCATGACACCACCGCTGTCGCAGACAAGTTGAACTTTTACTTTTTGTGTGATACGCGAAACGTCAGGTGTTTGCTTTAGAAAGCCAGCTAGTGGCTACTAGTGAGGCATTGTTTTTGTTGGCATTTATTTATTTTTTATTTCGCATTCGTTTTATAGCTGTTAACCCATGGCCGGCTTTGCCACGCAGCTGAGTTGAGCGGGGTTGTTTCAATGTCTGGCGTTTTTTTTTTTTTCGTTTAAATTGCACAAGCAAAAGACAACGGCAACGACGACGACATCCATAAATCTTGACATTGTGGGGCGGCTGGCTGTGGAGATTGT